GACATATGGATCCCTATTTTTTACAGCCCTTTTAGAGAATTATTTAAATTATATTTCCACGGCTAAAAAGCCTTGTTTCTTTTATTAACGTGTAGTAACAATATTTTGATTTTATGCTAGGCCCATTAGATTCATTCATTCCAGTGCTTCTTTCACAGCTCCGCAACAATCGTAGTGAGTCACTTATCTCATTAGCTAATCCCATCTTCCTTCTCAGCTATTCATCGCACCATCATTAACTTCCTTCCATTTGTTTTCGCCTACAACTCTTGTCATAGCTAAAGCAATGAATCTTTGTATAAATGCACAAAAAATTTTAGTTTGTAATTTAGTCAAGGATAGTTGCGAATAATCATGGTATAACATACGCCTGATAGTCTCTCCTGTGGCTCCGTGTTCTCTGCACGTAAAATAAGACGCGACGCAAGTTGGAAATGACACGCTAGCCGTTTGGTGGATTTGTTAGTGGACGAGCCGCGCACAACAATGCGCAATTCTCGTTACACTAAAAATAAAGCTTTTTTAATCAAATACATATAGACAGGGAAATAATTACAACAATCTAACAAAGTGCCTAACCTTAAATCTCTTAAGTAATTTTGATTATTTAGCATATAAAGAGTACTTTTAGACTTTGAAAAATTTCTATAACTTCCCAGCGGGCTAGTAAATGATGACGTTATCAGTGTGGCTGTTTAACGATATTTTTTGGTGAAAAATCCATCACAAAACCAAATGGCCTTAAACAACAGGAAATTAACCTTATAAGAGCATCTTTGTTTTCTCCACTATGAACTGTTGCTTCTCTTAGATTTATCAGCACTAAAAGTTAGCGCAAAAAGGTTGGGTTTTACTGAGCAAAGGGTTCAAGTCGATGGCAATGATTAGCCTATGCTTCAAAGAGGAAGTCATACAAGCCATCAAGAGTGTCCGTCACAGCTCCATGGCCACTGGCCGGAGGAAGGTTGTAGAAGCAACAGAAAATTGAGAAAGATGGCCAGAAATTTGGAAACTTGTGGAAGCTTTTATTGTCTTTGGCATGGGCGGCTTCAGCCTGGGATAAGTGGGGGAGGGGTAAACGCTCTTTTGAACCATGCCTTTTGGACCACGCCCTTTTTCCTGTTTGAAACATTTTCTTCCGGGGGAAACACCTCTTTTCTCCCAAGAAATGTCATTTAAATGTGACGATTCAGGTAAGGTACATACCCCCCCCCCGAAGTTTCTTCATCAGGTTTGCAAGAATCTCAAGAACCAACTTTCTGAAAGATTTGGGGGGGAGACTAGTCCCCCCATCCCCCCCGTGGTCTTTGGTTTCAAAATACAACTATAAAAAGGATGCGTAATTGATTTTTAACATTAATATGTTTGCTGAACTGCTTTGCTCTATAAAATGTAGGCATTAACTTTTTATAACTTTCACATTTGAATAATGACACGCTTTTGAAAATATTTGAAAATAAGCTACAAATTCTCTAGAAAGGTTTTGAAAAAACGGGGTTGCCAAATTACAAAGGTGTGAAATAGATTTTAAAATACCTTATAGGCTAGAAAGTAAATTGTTTTTTTAGAGACAGATTGCTAGATGGACCCAGAGCCCGTCATACAGCCCCTCCCCCCTAAATCAGTGAAAAATACCCAACCCCGCCTCCCTCTCCGTCCGACTTTCCATTGTCGCATGACCACTGACTCCCTGTGATCATGTGATCGTAAGGTGGAAGGATCTATCCAGTGGCGAGGAAAGATGGCTGCAGTCGAATTTCTATTTCAAGTTGTTTCGTTCTTTTTGCTATTTCTCTGCCAACCAGTTGCAGCAACTTTTGATGCGGGAGATGCTGCTGCTCTTGTTATTGGACTAGTAGTTGGAATTTTAGGAATTTGTGCTTGCATTGGTGCCTATGCAAGAAAGAAAGCTGGGACAAGCATGTGATTACTAGGCCAGGGGAAGTAATTTTGATGTGCTGCTTCTGTGAGAAATATTTGAACTCGAAACTCTTGAATTTATTTTTTCTTAAATCTAAATAACAGAATAAATTGCAATGAGAAAACACAGCCTAAAAGGATTTTGAAAGTAGAGAAGTGTTGCTGGTTTCAGATGTTTCAGGCTCCCACAATCCTTTCTATTTCCGAAAACAACGTAACATGGCGTTTGGAATTTGATTTATTAATGCTTCATATAACACAATGACTGATTTACTGCACCCTAGAGTACGAGAGGATATGGATGCTAGAACAGAAGGTGACAAGAATATTGTTGCGATGAACTTTGGGAAATACTGGCCTGCATAAAGATGTGAATTTTGTTGTGTAGACTGTATTTAGCATTTGTTATTGGATCTAGTTTTGAATTAAGAAATATTTGCAATAAAAAATTATAAAAGTATCTTTAAAGGTCAGCAGTAGTAATAGCAGCCACAAACTCTCTGCTTGTGAGTAAGAATTATTGATTATTTTGTAAACAAATAGACAAATTAGTCATTAATTCAGAAACCTTCAAGAAGATGAACCATATGAGCAGGGGTGGCAGACAGTGCTATTATTGCTATTACTTTAATAGCATTTTTTTAAGGCCACTTGTTGTTTAATGTAAGAAAGATAAAACGGAATACAAACATTTTCAAGCACGGCCCTAGTTGTAATTGCCTTGTTAAATGAAACTAAAGTTGCTGCAGCAGACCTTTCATCAAAAGCCAATATACCACGGCATGAGAGGAGCATCATTCTTCAGCCACAGAGCGTCCATGCTATTTCTTGGGCCTTTTTAATAGCAAATGAAGGAAAATATTAGTATGTTGCATCATATCTCCTTTTGTTTAGGGTAAGAAGGTTATTGTTTGCAATGCAAATCCCACTGCTTTGCTATTAAAATCTCAGATTTAATAGCAAGAGTTCAGGTACATGCTCATCGCGAGGAGAACCAAGTAGCTTGTTACGAAACAAAACAAATTGTATCGAGTCTGCTTGTATGGATGCATGGGATATTCCATATCAAGTGTATCCAGCTTGTAAAGTAACCCTTGTAGATTTTGCTGATAATTTGCATAGACCTATGGCTCTATAAGAAAAGCTCACACCCAAAATTTTAGGGTTCTAGGTCAACTCGTTTTCAAGTTATGACAGGTCAAAAACTGCAAAATTTACAAAATCGGGGGCATTTGCACCACACCCAGATTCTCTTAGCTTCTGATTTGTAGCACCTACAACAAAGATTTTGTTATCAAATGAAAGCTCTTGTAATTCTGAATCTGACTAAAACAACACAAAAATTCCGTCTCTCCAGTTTACTTACACAAACAGTGCACCAAGATTTCAAATGTTGACCACGCCCAGGGGGCAATTTTGACTATTTGGTCTGGTATCAGCATGACATTTTTTCAAATACTCCTTGGTTACCACAAAATTGATACACAAAGTTTCAGAGTGGGGTAAGATTGGGTTTTTATACAATGACTCATCAATAGCAGGTAGGTAGGTGTAAAAATGCCATTTTCAAAGGTTTTCTATACTGAAGCTTGTTGGGTCACAAAATGCTACCAGCTCATTAAAGTTAAGTATAATGTAACAAAAATATCTACAAAACGACTGCAAACATTATTGCTACATCAAGATTTGGCTGTAATGAAATATTGGGTTCAATTCTGATTTAATTGAGCTGCAAAAAACTCTTCTTGGATTCACTCTTTGTCAATCCATGTGTGTTACAAATGATGTGTTGAGAATCTTAAGCATTATTTTTGTTAGATAATGGGTTCTTTCTTATTTTGATAAGGAGTACAATTTTGCAATTCCCTTTGGCAACTGAAATAAGTTACAAGTGTTTTCGAGTTGCAAGTGTTGTATGTGATTTTCTGTATAATTTTACTTTGGGTATTGGTTGTGAAGGCATTCAAACTTAAACAATTTATAGGAAATTTATATTTGAATTAACCTAGTCAGCTTTTGACTCTCTGTAGTTTTTGGTTGAAAGATAATCTTTTGATCATTTCTAGGAATGAAAGCTGGTTAAAAGCATTTTCAACTAAACTAGTTTCTTTCTTTTTAAATAATTCATCACATTTTTAACAATAAGGCCTTTCCTAAAAACATGCAACAGCAGCTCATTCTCAAAAGCCTTTTTAGAACATATATTTGAAGTTACCCTGCCCTGGGATGATTTTGGGGAGTATTTTTTATAGTTTAAAATAGCTCCAGAAAAGCTGCACTCCTCACAACATATTCTGGGAGTGAGACTTTCAACATTGTGATCGAAAGTTATTTTAGGAGAAAGGATTGCTCACAATACTTCCTTTAACATAGTTTCCAAGTGATAGTGGGTCAGCATGAAGCATCACAACAGGATGTGAACAAACTCAACTTGCTACTGTTTTTCAAAGGCTGTAAGTCAAAGTCACCCCAGAATTTTTTTAAGTTGACTACATAGAAAGATGTTTTGCATTAGCAAGTTAAGTCTAATCAACTCATCTAAACCTGTTCATCTTAAATATATTTCAAACAACTTTCTAAGCATGTTTTTCTTCCAAACAGATGAGACTTATTGTTAAAATAGTTAAAATTTGCCGTGCAAAGTCGTATCTCATTCTCTACAAATTCTAGCTAGTTTTTGGAGAGTTATGTCAAGCGATACTTCCATAAAACATAATTCTTCTTAAAAGACTACAGGAGATTTTACATAACAAACTTGCTTGATAGAAGGATTGACAATTTTAATACAGTTTCAGGTGAAGAATGTTGAAGAGGAATGAAATTAGTTTTATCAATATTCACTGCTAACTTGATCACGTCAGGCCGCGTTTTCATTTGTTCAATGTTAGCAACACTAGAAGCCAAAATACTCATCCAAAAGTGTACTCAAAGCAATTCCGTTGATTACATATTCAGATTGCATTAACCTATTTTCTCAAAGGAGCAGGGGCATCGGGAAGTTTTCCGGTGTCAGCACTGGCAAGGTACGCCCCCATACATGACTTTTCACCCCAGTCTCGTTCTCACGCTGAAACTGAAGATGAGACGAATGTATTGTTTTCAAACGGTACAAAGGTTACTTTCTCGTCTGGAAGTGATCCTGCATCTCGCGAAGGGTCGATTCTTCTGTGAAATCTGCCTCGTCGTCCAATATGCGCACAGCTAGGAAGTTGTCTTCAAAACGGGCAACCGATTTAGTGGTATGAGTTTATGAAATTTTTCGTTGTTAATTAACCATGAGAAAAATAGATTGGAGCAATCCTCGCTTATCATATAACCAGCACAAAGCACTGCCCACGCCACGAGTTTTAAGGTGAAGTGGCCAAGTTCATCTCGAGGCTCTTTAAAAAACTTGTTTTCAACCAATTATACCAGTACGTGAAGGAAAATGGTCTGTTCTCAGGTGACCAATCTGGCTTTTTGCACCTTTTCTCCACTGTAACATTTTGCTAAAAGATATTGATGACTGGTACAGTCGGTTGGATCTTGAACAGTTTGTGGGTCTGGTATTTGTTGACCTAAAAAGGCCTTTGACACTGTTGACCATGAGATTCTCTGCCTAAAGCTTGAGCATTTTGGTATAAAAAATAGAGAACTCTCTTGGTTTAAATCTTACCTTTCTTAAACAGTTTTTTAGGGTAAACAGCCAGTCTGCAGAGTATGGAATGTGCACACCGGAGATATTTTTGCGCAAAACCTGTTGCACACCCGTATTTTTGGGTGTGGCAACTAAGATGGGTGTGGCTTGGTGTGGTCCCATAGAAAATGTCAGCTGATAAAAACAAGCACAGTTGTGTATGAACAATTTGAGATATCATGAATCTTACTTGACAAATATACAAATAAAAACTTGCGCTATCTTCAACAGTATACTTCACACGAATTATTACGGTGAAATGCAAATTCACAAATTTTAACCACAACAGGGAAAAATAGTCTGTGCACACCAGCACACCAGACATTTTTGGTGGTGCACACTGTCACACCCTGCCGTCACACCAGGCTTTTTGCTCGTGCACACCGGAGATCTCGTCGAAAAGTGCCTTACTCTGCAGACTGGGTAAACAGCATCAATTTAGAAATTAGGGACATAGAAACCAGTGTGCCACAGGGCTCATGTCTTGGCCCCCCACTTTTCCTCATTTATATCAATGACCTCTAACAGGCTGTCCAGGATTCAGTTGTATCCATGTATGCTGGTGACACCAGCCTGTGTTATCGATCCTCTGGTATTAACTGAGCTGAATTAGGCTATTAACAATGACCTCAGTAAATTAGACACCTGGCTGCAAGGCAACAAACTTACTTTGAATTTTGCCAAAAATCATTCCATGCTTATTGCAACAGCAAGAGCATAAAATGCTTAAATGTCATAATGAGGAGTTGGACCTAAAGATACGCAAAAAAGAGCTTGGCATAGTCCAAACAACCAAATACCTTGGCGTTCAGTCCTTCCTGCCAAAGGCATCCTTGAAAACTCTCTATACAGGTATAGTGGAGCATCATTTTTGGTATTGTTGCTTTGTTTGGGGTTGCTGTGTTTCAACGGAAATTACCAAATTGCAAAAACTTCAAAACTGTGCTGCAAGGGTAATAACAAATGGTAGCTTTGATGCTCCAAGAAGACCACTTATCCACTATAAATTTCAAATGATGCTGGGATGGAAGACCATTGAAGAACTTATAAACTGTGCAACAAACATAATTGTGTACAAGTCCTTGCATGAGTTGGCTCCAGAATACCTCTGTAGCCCCTCACTCGTAACTCACCTTGTGCTTCCCACAGCCTCCATAATACTAAAACAGACCTGAGACTGCACAGGAAAACACAGCAAATGGGCAAAAATGTTCTTCTTATAGAGAAGCAAAACTGTAGAATAGCCTCTCAGCTGAGCCAGCAGGCATCAACACTGATTAGTTTTAAACATTCTATTTAGTGGACATTTGTTTTTATTTCTATTATAACTATTGTATATTATTTTATGTAAATATGAGTACTGCTATAAATATTACGGTTTTTTAAAGTATTATTAATTGTAATTGTTATTTTTTAGTTAGGGCCCCTTGTTAATCAGCTTTGTTGAAGGGCAACTCTAGAAATGAAATATGAAAGTATATATATGAAATATACAAGACCTAAGCACAGTTTCTACCTTGGTCCAAACATAAAGAGTTTCTTTTGCCTACAACAATCATAACACAGGTTAGTCAAGTAAGCCAGCTTTGAACATCTGACAGATGCACACTAATATATTTTTAATAATTATCTTTGTACACTTGGTAAAATGAATATGTCTAGAGCAGAATGGGCATGACCAGAAATGCACTTTAGGTATTTTTGTCTCTCAACAATTATAATAGAATAAATTCAGAAAACGAGTTGTGTGTGCACCTGATTTGCATATTCTCTGATGTGAGCATTGGGATAAGGGCTATCAAATAAGGGCACTTTGTGATTGCTATTAAATTATCTGACTCATTTAAATAATTTCAAAGATTCAGGGTTGGGACAAACCCAAACCCCCTGGTATGCATGAAAATTTAGGACAGCCTACACTTTAAATGTTAGAGCTTCTATAAGAGTCTGGTTTTGCAAGTGTCCAATACCAATAGTGCATACATATACCTCTTAATTGACCCTGGCAAGCCAGTTTCTAGTATCAACTCCTGGAAGTTTTACAGTATTACCTCTGAATAGAACACTAAATAATCAAAAAAGTTATTTTTCAATGTTCAATTTTGAATATGAACATTCTTCCATTAAAGCAGTTAACTTCCGTATAACCTTTGCTGTTCCTTTTAAGCACAATTTATCTAACAAAATTTGAAGCAGCCCTTGCTTGAAGCAGAATGAAGGTGCCTCATAAAACGAGATCCTAAAATACTTAAGGTGCTCTATTTCACACTTCTAAATAAAATTTCCTTGAGAGCATCTTTGGTAATGCAAAATGTTGCAAAAATAGTAGCAAAAGTATAAATGTGCTCTGTTCTAGCAATGGGGATTTAGCTCCCATAGCACCACACCCCTAGGCCCTGGGTATGATATATAGAGTGGAATATATACAAATATATTCCACTATAGACCTATTCACATTTAATGTGAACAGGTCTAGGCAATATCTACACACAAACGTTTTTGAAATTTTGCGTATTCTTCTCAATGATAAAGAATCTAATATTCAAGTTCCAAATGAAAGCTAATCATTTTCAAATATCATTAAATTTTCAAGTGATTCAGCTCTCAAATTGTTTCTGCACGTTTGTATTTTTGATGCAATAATTTTTCATTTTAAAATGTATTTTTGTAGACTTTGCCTTGAAAGGAACTGGGTATAAAATTAGGTATAAAATGTTATCAAAGGATTAATGGTATAAACTATTATACAAATCTTGTATATCATAACATTTGAGTCATTTGAAGTGATAGTTCAAGTTTAATCATCATTATTTGAAAACAATGTTTTTTTTGGCAGTATTGTTTTACATTTTCAAGTGCTCATTAAATTGCTCTCCATGGTTGTTTAAAGCAAATTTTTGCTTCTTGCTTCTGTAAAAAAACATGAACTCCTTGATGAAAAAAACTAGTGACAAAGTTACTAAAAAAAGCCTTTTTGCCATCGTGAAGAGGTTTTGCTATTTGTTATCTGGTCCATCTGAGTCTTCCAGTCTGACTCATCTACCAGTGCTAAATTTTGTTTGCCTCTTCAATTTTTCCTTTTATTTTTATGTTATTTTTAATCATAATATAGAATATACATTATTAAATATATCACTACTTTATAATGCTTGCTTGAATTTGAATTGTATCAAGAATTGTGATAAATTAATTCTGTTTAGAAAAGCCTAGCCAAGAGATGCTATAGCTCTGCTGGACTTGGTGGCATATCATTTGGTGAGACAGAAAACTTTCATTCTTGCTTCATTGTTATGTTTTAATCCAGTTTCTTGGTTCAGTCAAGTCTGTAGAAATCTCGTCATTGCATCTTTGTTGAATAATACACAAATTTTTAAACCTGCCACCTCTTCCTTTGATTTATTACATTTTGCATCATTTTATGCATTGTATTTGCAGAATTTGTTGCTTATAGAGAAGAACAGAGCGAAAAGTTAACACAAATTTTCCCAGCTTTTATAGCCTGGTTTTTTTAAAAAGTAAATTTGTATTTCATTAATGTTTTCCATAAACAAAATCAATGCCAATTGGTGTTTTTCCTTTCATAGTAAATTTAAAATCAGCAAAGTACATTTGGCTTTGACTAGAAAAGTAATTAATTTAGATAATCTATTTATGGTTGTTCTATTTAATTGCCTAGAATTCACAGATGAACAGAATGAGCTTCAAGAACTAACAAGAAAATTTGCAAAAGATGAAATAATTCCCAATGCTGCCCACTTTGACAAAACTGGAGAGGTATGGTAGAAATTTTGTTTCTGAGCACTAATCCTTTTTACTGTTTTAAAAGACTTTGTTAAACTTTGAAATTTATAGAATCTACACAAACAAGTGACAAAACCTCTACTAAGGACCCCCTGATAACCATCCTGACAAAAATGCAAAAGAAACAGTTGTGCAAATAACACATTCATAATCACATCATCTTAATAAATATTCATTCTGTCTCTGCCTTTTTGTTGTTTTGGAATTATTGGATTATTCATAGAAGCCTTAAAATTTGCAATAGCAACCATTTTCCCACAATGAACCTTAGGATGATCCCGATTTTCTATTAATGAAATTTATATAATTTTTTTATTTTTTTTCAATGGTCTGTCATAAAGTGTTTAAATGCCATGTAGGCAGATATATTTTTTTAGAGTATAGAACATGACAAAAGTTGCTATTTCTAGTTTCTCACTTAATGTGGTTATCATGCAACTGTGAATTTTGTATTATTTTAAAAAAAGAATCAGGGAAGAAATTTAAGGCCAGTGATTTGTATTTCATTTCAAATCTATGGGAGAGGCTCACAGCTTGTCTAAGGCAAGCAGGGACTTTTCTTGCCTCAAGAGGCAAGCCCTAAGTACCTAGGGCTAGAAAATAAATTTTGTACCAACTTTTGTATGAATTGTATTTGTGGTCGTTGGCTCTCCAGTTGTGTATTTTCATGATGCAATTAAAGTGGCTGATTAAAAGAGAATAAAGTGTTTATTGCTTCCATAAATTTAAAATTAGTTATGCTATAAAGTTTTGTTTCAAAGTGAAAGTTTCTGTATTGTAGCATTTTGTGGCTAATGAGATGTTTTGGTAATTGATGTTTATTTGAATAAACAGTTGCACGCTGTAATACCCTGAGAACCACTCCTTGAGAATAATATGGGATGTGGTGTTTATCGAACATGCAAAGAGCAAACTAACCACAAATGCATTAGGAACATCATAACCATTGCATGTCACTATTCACTTGATCTATTGTACCAATTTTAGTTTCCTTGGGATATTGTGAAAAAAGCCCATGCCCTGGGATTGATGAATGGTCACATTCCTCAGGAATATGGTATGTTTATCATCCCCTTATTTGATTATTTTTTATATTTGAGTGTCAATACCAAGTAATTAGACTACTGATTATCAAGAAATTTAACTTTGAGACTTGTTTGTGAAAAACTAGTCTCTTGGAGTAATGAAAAGCTTATTTTGATTGTCATAACATTATAACACATTGATTTTTGTAATTTTTTTGTATTCTTGGTAATGTAAGTTGTAACAGCAGTAACAAGCATTTTTTGTCCAGAAAATATTGTTCATGAATCCATTCTAAATTTTTGAAGTTATTTTATCTGAGATTCAATTACTGTGTTCACCTTGGTCAGCATGCACATAAAGGGCCCCAACAGATGATTTTATGTCTTGTCCAATAGCTAATTCATTTGTTAACCATATATATTGTGATATGGTGATTGGTATACAGTATACAGCTAACTTTACCAAAAAACGTAGTTTAAAACTTTGATGTATTTAAAGTTGATATGATGCAAGATATGATATAAAATAGGTATAGTTGATATGAGTAATGTTCAGACGTATTTGTATATGAAAATTGTTCATTTTTGATATGGTAATGGTTTGCGTTTGTAGGTGGACTAGGTTTGAGTAGCTTTGCTGGCTGCTTAATTGTGGAGGAACTGTCATATGGTTGTTCTGGAATTCAAACTGCTGTTGAAGGAAACTCTTTGGCGGTATGTACCACATATTTATTTAGCTTGTTGAGTTGTGACTTAGGTAACCAGCAATATTTTTTATCTCTATAGAGTGTCGAAACATTTCTGAAAATTTCCTCTGTCCATTTTTGGAAATCTTATTGTTTTGTTCAAATGCCAAACAATGAACTTTTTTTCTTTGTAATTAAGGTTCCTCTTACTGCTTTTTTTATACCAATTCTGAATGAATTGCAGTTACAACAATACCATGTTTTTTGTTAACTCCTTTGAAAAACCTGAAAAAAATGGTTTGATTTGAATTTTACTGCATGAAAGTGGAACTATTAGGATTCACAAATTTCTAGTCGAAAGTGGTTTTTTTACCAAACTTATTGGGTTTTCAAATAATTCAATACTAAGAAAGTTCATTACACATTACTTCCAAAATCTTGTCAAGACATAGTGTTTTACTTTGCTGTCTCAACTGCCTTTTCTTGGAGTATGCATAATTGTTGTAAAGTTTTTTGTTGTGATCAACAGGAAGCCCCCGTAATTTATGCTGGAAATGACGCTCAAAAGAAAAAGTATCTCGGACGTATGGTGGAAGAACCCCTGATGGCGGTGAGTAGTGATTGTTGGTGCTACAGTTGATGGCTATGGCTTGTGAATCAACAATTTTAAGTTTTATTACGTTATGTTACATGGGTAATAATAATGTGAGTAAATCCAGAATTCAGGTAGCTTGTTAATTCTGGGTATATTTTAAACAAACAAAATTCATTAAAACCTATCCTTCGCTGATTTAAGCTAACCCTGTTTCCTAGCGTAAACTCTTTTTCCTATAATAATAACCCTCTTTTCTCTTGTCATTTCTAAAAGTTAATTTTTTAACAGAAGTGTTTTTCTCGGATTAAATTTATGGATTGGCCAAGTTAAGAAAATGATATGTTATCATCAAAGTTGATGATATAAGAGAATGATATGTTATCATAATTTCATTCTTTGAAAGGTAACTGGTCGTGCATGATTGTTGATTTTCCAAGCTTAGCTTTTTTCTTTACAACCTTATTAGGCATACTGTGTGACAGAGCCTGTGGCTGGATCAGATGTTGCTGGGATAAAGACAAAGGCAGAGAAAAAAGGAGATGAAGTAAGTACATTGCGAAACTTACTTGCTTATGCTGTGGCATAGATCGCTTAATCAGTCCTATTGTTTCTTGGCCATTGCTTTGGTCTTATCAAAGGCATGTAGATTAAAACAATTTTTGATGATGATCAACTCTAGTAAAATCGATTAAAACGCTTCTAGTTGCTAGTAATTAAAACTTTTTACGTGCTTTTTATATACTTTAACCCAGTGGATTGATGGTGAAGATTTACAAACCTAAAATATTTGCTTTTGATTTTATTTAAGATCCGTGACACTTTCAGAATCATTGTGTGTTGGCTGAAACCAATGTACTTTCTTAGACTAAATGGTTAATGTAAGATTTAGTTCTTAATTTGTTTCATCTTTTTATTAGTATATTATCAATGGTCAAAAGATGTGGATTACCAACGGAGGTGTTGCGAACTGGTGAGAATGCCCTAGCTTAATTGAGGCTATGCGATGTATGTTGCTTTCTAACATTCTCTAACTGACTGGCAGCAATAGCCCAAATCAACGGAGGATTATTCACCACTGCAGGTTTATCAGTGACCCCGTCATCTCGTAACATATGTGGCGCTCACATAAAGGAAAATATTGAATAACTATATCAGTTGCTCTAATATATGCCTACTATGCATAACTCACATATATTAAACATATGACCTATGGCAGATCATGGTAAGCCTGAAGTATGAATGCTAAATGGTATTGACGGCTTTAAATTGAAATTTTCAGACGTCTTTACTGGCCCCAAACTTGGCTTTTATGTAAGATCTGCAGTTAAAAATGAAAGCAGGATGTAAATGCCCTCCGCTTTTGACAGCAAAACCATTGTGTCGAGCTTTACTTATTCATTTCAACTATGGTCTTTGTTTTTTTCTAAAGATGTGTGCATTCCGCTTTTCAGGTATTTTGTTCTCGCGAAAACAGATCCAAATGAAAGGCCCGGCAAAGCTTTTACTGGTTTTATTGTAGATGCAGACAGTCCAGGCGTCGTAAAAGGTCGCAAGGTTCGTTTGTTTCATGTTCATTGTGTCCAGCCAAAAGCATCTAGCACACCCACTTGAGGCCCAGTCACATCTTCGAGTGTTTCGTGCTTGACAGGAAAAGGCCTCTGTCATGAACTGCAAATGTAGACGAAACAGTTCAGTATTTTGTGACTTAGTCGTCTTTTACGTCACCAGCTGTTGGTCACTTCATTTATGAATTCTCAAACTAGCTAATTTGTAGATTTTCATTCCCTACAGCTTTTCATATATTGAAAGCTGAGGGTATTCCCAGTACAACTTTTATTGAGTTTATTTTTAGTTAAAACTCATCCTTGCAGCTGAATATCGCTTTATAATTTTTGAACAAATTCGTTTTATGTATTTGGATTTTTTTGTTTGATCCTCTCCAAGTCATTCAAATTTGTTTTCTGAATAATATGAAAAATATTATTTGAAATTATCTCAAACTCGGTTATTAGGGAGAGTATACCTTAAGTCATTCAAGCTACAGACATTTTTATCGAACTATTTCAATTTTGTCCATAGACATTTCCGTTAGTGAAAGATTATTCGTTGTCCTCAGGGTTAAAAGTAGGCAAATATTTCAATTTTAATTTTTTCCTTTGACTCTCCGAAGAATGATATAGCATTATACCGTTTTGTAGGAATGGAATATGGGACAAAGAGCATCGGATACGCGGGGCATAACCTTCGAAGACGTTCGTGTTCCGAAAGAGGTATGACTTTGTTAAAGACGTTGATACAGATTCAAATAAAGTAGAGGCTTACAAACCAAGTCAGTTATCTTAGGATACACTGCTGGCCCCTTACTTGTGGACAAATTAACTAGTCGTTTCTCTTTTTCATCTTATTAAAGTAAATATTTCTACCTATCATCTCAAAGGCCCCTCGATGTCTATCTTCTTAGCAACACTATACTCTTCTTTTTCTTTTATAAATGGAAAATTGATTTTCTTCTCAGAACGTTCTTGGCACTGAAGGCCTCGGTTTCAAAATTGCGATGGGCGCGTTCGATTTTACAAGGCCGCCAGTTGCAGCGGGAGCTGTCGGTGTGGCAAGACGTGCGTTTGATGAGGCAACAAAGTATTCCCTCGAGCGGAAGACGATGGGCAAGTTTATCGCAGAGCACCAGGCTGTTCAATTTATTTTGGCCGACATGGCCATCGGGGTTGAGGTTGCAAGGCTCATAACCCACCGAGCAGCCTGGGAAATCGACCAGGTATGGTTAAAATAGGATTTATTTAAGATCTATCCGACTTATCCATCATACCTCTGTTTCTTGTAGTGTACGGGTTGGTGTTTGTAAAGAAACTGTTTAATTATTGTTTGATTAATAAATGTTAGCTAATATCATAATTATTTTGATAGTGTTGAAAACGAAAGGGTATGAATTGAAGATTCGCTATTTTTCGTTGCATTTATCATTCGGTAAACTTAATGTAAGTATAGTGTGTCTCTGCAAATGCGAGTAGCCTGACGTAGAAATAGTCATGCGGAATGATAACTCTTCATTAAGTATCATGCTGTTCGTGTGAGCATGGTGTCAAACTTAAAATCCGATTCATTGCTGAAAAAATTATTCTCAGTCATTTTCTCGGAGGAATCGGTAAATGTGAGAGTAACTTTTTTCAAACAGTCCTTTTAAGTGCTGCAGTAATGAAGTGAATTAAATTGTACCATTAATGTATTTTTATTTGTAGGGAAGACGAAATACCTACTATGCATCGATCGCAAAAGCATTCGCATCAGATATTGCAAATAAGAATGCATCTGATGCCGTTCAAGTATGTGAATTTTCTTTTGTTTTCTTCTTCTTAATTAGACTACTTGATGCGGCAATACATGATGTGCCAGAGATGTTGCCTTTTTGTGATTTTTTTTAATTTCTTTACAAGTAGTTGAGATGTTTTATGCTCAAATCTATTTCAAAAGCATTTTTTGCATTTGTTTTGGAAAAAATTAGAAGGCACTCTTCGGAAGCAATTGGTGTTAATGTAGGTTTCGATGACACCCTGATATCTGTTAAGGTTTTTAAGCTGGGATAAAATGAGCTTCTTGATCACACTTATAAAACATCCTGTTGTTATCGCATAATGCAATTAGAACATATTACATATTAGTTGCATTAAATATCTATGGCAATGTATTTTAAGACGGAACCATGGTCCGATGATTTTTCCGCCATTGTTGTTGCGTATTAAATTTGCTAGAATCTTCTCTTCAGAGGACATCTTATATCTGAACATATTAAACCTTTTTAGCCAAACCTCTACAAAGTGACTGAAGTGCCCTGAAACCAAGTTGTTTTTTAAACAAACATACACATCACGAGGATTCGGGCTTGCCATTTTTTGATGAGCTATGATAGACTTGCGAAATGTGTGAGAGAGCGTCAAAGAAATTTACTCAATTATATATAAATATACCCATGAAATATATCCATTATTAAAAAATTTTGTCGACAGGTGTTTGGTGGAAATGGGTATAACTCAGAATATCCCGTTGAAAAATTAATGCGAGATGCCAAGATTTTCCAGGTATGGTAGCAAAGACTTTTTCACTTTAAAGTCATTTCATGGCTACTGGGAGATTTCTTTCGTACTACTGCCGTCTCGGGTACACTGTTAGGATACTAAGAGTTTTGAATATGCCTGAAATGTCTCATGCTTTAATCTGTTCAGTTGTTATAATTATAAAATCCACCTTTTTTTAAAACCAGTCAAAAGAGTTAAAGTAAAAAATACACCGTTTATATCTTTTGACGGTGGGAATAGACATTATGTCATCAAAATTCGAATAAAAAAAGGAATTTAAAAAATTGCAAAATTGTTGTTTTTTAAGAAGGAAAACTATATGGAAAACGGAGCTGATTTTAACAGTTTGCGTATTTGGGTCTAAATTTTATGTGACTGTTAAAGGCCCTTGAACTTTCGGCGAAATGAAGATAAAGGGAGTCGCATGAATTGTTGTTTCCATAGTTTCCTTGTCCTAACAGCATCACAAAAGCTGTTTTTTGCTCGATTAGATCTGTTTCACTTAATTTTTATTGACATCATATTGTTTTTCAGATCTATGAAGGAACCTCGCAGATTCAAAGGTTGATAATATCACGAGAACTGCTCGCGGCTGCCAAAATGATGCATTGAGACTTTCGCTTTCCTTGTGAATTTTACTGTTGAATTCGGTGTCATTCATATTGAATTTCTTCATGTGGACATAATTCATTCAATTCGACATAGTTGTGGAACTTTGTCCATAATTTTTACTGATGCTTTCCTGGTCCTACTTTATTGAGAAGTTTGCCTCTATTTGTAGACATTAGATAGATCATTAGAGCAAACAGCATGGTAACGAAACGGATTAACAAGTTTATTGCGAATTTCACCTTCGTCTAGGATATTCTATTGAATTAGTACTAAAACTGTTTTGAAAATTCGGTGGTTTTGATCGTTTGATGAACAACGTCTACTGAAAGCTTTGTTAAAATTCCCATCATTCGTTTTACAATGTTGCAAAATATCATGGATTTTAATGGAGAGTTTCTACTGGAATTTGTAGTAAAAACCACGTCAAAGAAGACATAGGGTTTGGAAAAGACTGCCCACTGAAAAACTGTCTATGAATACTCTTTACAGAATCTACCAAAATTTGTTTGCCTTAATGTCTAAAACTGGAAAATTTGACTGGAATGAAAGGGCATGATGTTCTAATTTTGCTCTTTTTGCCTGACCATGCATACATCATAAAATGACTAGAGGCACTCTAGTATCGATACTTCGTTTGAAAGAGTTCTAAAAAGCTTAAATTGCATCTAACTCAGGCATCGATTAAGTGAATTCTAGGAAACTCCATGCAGAAGTGTTGATACGCGTACCTAAAAAACATCTCGATCGATTGTGTGACGTTCCCACCCGGGTTTTCGGCAATATGCAGACATGCTCAACAAAAAATGGGAGAGATTTATGACATGAAATTAGTCTTCTCAATCCTGTAGTTCATTGAAAATCAAGCACAACTAAAAGCATCGAACTGACAATTTTGCAAAAAAGCTGATCGTGCCACAATCTTTCATTTTGCTTTCACAGTTGTAAGCTAATTTTCTTCTTAAAACCAAAATTTTTAGAATAATGGTCTGTTCTTTATTTCTGAGAAAATTGGAAGGATGTTGTTCTTTTATTTCATTGAATTAAAATGAATCCAAGGCCTAAAAATATCTCAATTGAAATAATATCATTTTTCGGGCATTAGTCTTGGTCAAGTTTGCTCAGTGCGAAAAAGAATTCTTTCTGGATTAAAAAGAAAACATTTTGACTTCTTGGTATTTGGTTGGGAAAAGACGCACGTGGGTTCCACTAAGTTGCCAGGTGACAAATCGTGGCTCGGAAAAAATCCCCTCGTTAAATTGATTATCGCATCGGACACGTGTGTCAGCGGTATCTTGGCCTCGTTCCCTTCATATTTCACGACTAGAATCAGTTACGTGGCTTTGTTGTGAGAAGTTCTTCCTCTTGCAGTTAAATTTGCTTCATATTAAACTGAAATACTGCATACGCATTACCGGAAAACAGAAAGAAATTTGCACTTTAGTGCCTATTCGACATCGTTGCATCGTTATTTGCTGAGAATATTAAGAATTTTGTTGAAGAGTGCTAGCCTACGTGGTAACGGAGTACAGTTATCGGGCCTAAGCTTTCTTCTTCGTCACTGTTACAAAAATATAATCAGTCGTTTTAGCGCTATCTGTGGACAAGAACTGGAAATGATCGATGGAAAATAGATACTTAACTTTAAACCTTCAAAGATCTTACTGAATCTTGTTTCAGTATGGAAGCTCCTGGTAATTATGGTTAGTATGGTGGAACAACACCATCCAAAGCTTTTTGTTGATTGCTCATAAATAAATTAATTATACTTGGCAAGTTTATAATTGCAATTCTAAAACATTTAAGATCATTGATTGTTTTCATTAAATTTAAAAGTGACAATTTCTGGCAAACAATATCTTAACTTTTTCTCCATTATTACGGCCACTGGTCATGTCTTGCATATTCTTTTAGCCTTCGACGTAACAACACATTTAGTGAAACATAACTTAGATGATTGAATTTTATGTAGGCAAGACCGATAACTTGTTGATAAATCCTCCACACACTAATGAATACAGAATGGAAACTTTATCCTGGGCCAGATTGGAATCTTGGAAAGGTGCTCGGGGATCTGTTTCATGTCAATGAAAATTGCGCGGTTGCAAGTAATACAAATAAAATTTTGTGCGGCTGAGACTAATTACCATAAAAACACAGTATGTAACTTTTGAGTATACATTTCAGAGAAAAACATTAGTGGTGATAAAAATAATATAGCAAAGATAAACATTTTTCATAATTCCTAAAAATAAGAACGAGGGGGACCCAACCAGATGAGGATAGTTTCCGTAAGCCAAAATCTGCTCAAAATTTGAAAACTTTGTCTCATGTATATTTTACTCCCAGAAATGATAAAAATATCCTTCACATGTTTGCTGTTATTTGGCATATGTGTGTACAAAAACCAGCCTCGTGTGCACACAAGCTAAAAGTAATGATGATCTAGAAGACCTGCAACTCTGAGGGTCACAAATGCAAATTTCATCAAAAGCGCCAATTATCAAGTACAGTACATACATAAAATGTTTTACAGTTAAAGAAAAATCCTGTGCAGCTGGATGAATCATTTTAATAGAAATAACGCGGCTGCAATCAGGGCTGACACTTCATGTGCATGGGGAATTTATTCCCTGTGCAAGGCAAAAATTCCAATCTGGATCCTGGGCTCCTGCCTAACCACAGTATCAGCTTGCAGTTTAAGCAACTCAAAATCTTAATTTGTGTTCAAGTGGCCAGGCAGATACTAAAAGCATCCATTATGTAACCAAATTACAAGCTTTTTGTTTTGTCATGTCTTGGTCATTGAACTGAATTGATCACAATATCTTCTATTGGCTTTTCAAATTCACTTTCCTGTTTTAATTTAGCTCAAAAATCTAAATGTGCAACTGGCTTGCTGTGGAAATATTTAATTTTCTAATCTGGGTCTGGTTCAATAATAAAATCTGGAAAATCATACTAAATATTTCAAACAGACACCTACCACTGAATTTTTAACTGTCAGTTTTAATTTTGTAAGTTCCTTAAGATTTGAAAATAGCTTTAAAGGCTTCATTCTTGTATTTTGTCACTAATGGTAGTGATAATATTTTCCCTAAATAATTAACTCTTTTCCATCTTTAGCCAATTAAGTTCCCTTTTCCTTAAGCCCTCGATGAAAAACATTTTGTTAGGGAGAACTCTTAATAAACACCTTTCCAATAGCTCCTTGCTTTGGTAATAAAAAGTTGAATTACAATATATGCTTATGAATATACATTTCTTGGCTCAGTAAGAAAATAAAATCAATGTGTATGATCACGCCTGTGTCTGGCTTTATGTCCTTTATAGTCTTAATACAGTAGGCCTCAGTTTTTTCTTAAGATGATGTGACTGCAATCTGAATTTGACTTCAATAAGGGCTTGATTTAATATTTTTGCATATTTGGGCAGTGTTATAGGGAATTTATTTAATTTATTTGGTAGTAACAAAGATGCTGCTAGCACTGTTGCAAATCATTTTTCTTCCACATATAAAAGGTTATATATAATTATAATAATTATTGACATACAAACAGTCGACATAAACCTTAAAAATTTGAGAGGAAAGAAACATATGTACATTTGTTCATGCTTTTTGTCTTAGGTAATAACATAATATTGAATGGGAGGTACTAAGTCCTACTAATTTGCCCAATAAGTAAACTCATCTATTTCACGGTAACTATTTTATCCTTTATTTATCATCAAAAATTTCAAAGTAAGGAAATAATTTCTCTATTCTTAATTTATATAACGTAATTTATCTTTCAATTTACTAGAGCCAAGACCTCCAAAACCACCATCAACTGGTCAACCGGGTCCTCCTCCAATGGTTGCAGCTCAGGTAAATATATATAGCATGATACTGAATACATATTATTCTTAGCATCTTTAGTTATCTCTCCTTTCTCAAAACAAGTTGCCCAAGCATGAGCGATAATGCAACTTGTAATTGAGGCCATTGAAGATAAGGTGTTGAGGTCATTGAAGAGCTTGGATCTGAAGAGTGTTTATTTTGTGATATTAATATATTTTAATGGGCGTGTCTTGAAGTTATCCCCAAACAAGGTGCAAGTTTTTTCAATGCATTAATCGCTGCAAATGCAATAGTCATCAGGCCTCTCAGTTTGAGGTGTGTGATTTTGCGCCTGCTCCTCGACAGGCACCTAGATGAGACAAGGTGCATATTCAAAAATTAGCAATAACATGTGCCCCATTCATTTCCAAAGATTACTTTTTGACCAGAAACTTTGTCTTGTTGCCCCAGGAATCATCTTTTAACTACAGCATTCACAATTTAGAGAATAACTAGCTTACATCACCGACCATGACTTCTCCTCAGTTATGGTCTGTGATGCAGGATAGGGACTTGCATGACACGATATGCATTTAAACATTGGAAAACTTTCTGTGCTGCTTGAGTGTAAGGAAAGAGCCACTCTAAATCTGTTTCACCACTCTTGCCATAACCGGAAGTGATTTATTAGGTAAAAAACGTGAAGTCTATTTACGCTTGTTCAGTACATTACTGTTATGAATCTATGTTTGGATCAAAGATAGAGTTTCTTTTTATGGCCTGTATAACCTTTGAAAGAAAAATACTCTATAGTACTTTGGTACCTCAAAGCTTGAAAAATCACATGGAAAAGCTATAATATCAATATTGCTGATATTACCCTTTTAGGTGCGTTTTAAACCAGAAGTTATGAATTGTGTGCCTCAATGAAAAATTTTGTTTTGAGGTGCGTGATCAGCCACGCACCTACTAAAATCTTTACGGAGACACCTGAGTCATCAAGCTGATCTTAATCATATCATTTTTTAGGGTCCAGGATCTCAAGCCAGAAATCCTTTTGGTATGCAAGGAAAGGGACACAACCCGTACTCCAAAATTAATTCTTTTGGACCACCAAATCCAATGCAAAATGTCAGAATGCCGCATGGACCACCTTTTCCACCTACGCCACATTCAATGTTTAACCCATCTCCTATTGTTTCTCCCACTTATTCATCAGCTGATGCTGCTAATGGTCCTTATCTGGCTGGAGCTCCTCCTTCCTCAGGAGTTATGTTGCCAAATATGAAAACACAACAGCCTGCTGAAAGGATGCCGATGTCAGGTGACCAAATTTCCAGGAATTTTATGCCACAGGGTGCTGGAAGCCTTAGCTGGCCAGGATCACCTGATGAAGGACAATCTTCTAGTTATGCTCATGCAAGTCTACCCCCAAGTTTAAGTCAGAGAGAAATGAAGCCATTTGAACCTCAGTATGATAAGCAATTGGGCACAGCACACAATAATCAAAATAGGAATTATAACAATACAGCTATAGAAAATATCAGCTCTGCCTTTAATTACCTCAGTTTGGATTCCCCCCAAGGCGTAAGCTTACATCAAAGAGATAGTCTGGCTGCTCAGCAACGTACTGATGATTATGAGGATGAAGATACTGATGAATCAGATGAGACATCATCTGACAATGAATCTGATGATGGTATTGATAGTGATGATGATTTGTTGTCAAGCCCTGATGAAACCCAGTCAAACCAGCAATCTATTTTTAGGGGTAAGAGAATATGTTTGATGTTTGGTGTATGCTTCTTAGCAAAAGCGTGGCAAAGATTCAGAAAGACATGTGAACCAAATAAACAACCAAAGACTTGAAATTGTTTCTATGTCATAAGTTTCCAAATTAGCTTTTTCAAATAAAGAATCTGTTGTCTATGTTTATGGACTTTCAGGAATTAGTGCTTTCAGGAATTAGTACTTATCACACTATGTTGGTTGTATTTTCAAAGCCAATTCTTGGATCATCGAGTAAAATGTAGATTAGAATCATTCTGTGGTCATTGGCATCATTCATATATCAATCCAGCATATTGTTTCCAGTTTATTGGTCAGAGTGCCATTCAATGATCCTGTCTCATTAACCATTAACAATGTCACAATCACCAGCATTAATCAGTGGACATGTTTTGAAAGCTGGACATTGTTACTTTTCATCTCTTCAATCATCATCATTGTCACTATCATCATCATTGTTTCATTGACACAATCATCAGTATCAAAATTCACAAAGAATAAGTTGTCAGTGTCATCATCCACAAAGAAAAAGTTGTCAGTGTCATCATTCACAAAGAGAAAGCCATCAGTGTCACCATTCATTCAGATGCTCATGATCTATCAAATCTTTTGGTCATCGAAGTTGATTCATGTTAATTTGCAGTTTTGTATTAAAAGTGATGTAAATGTCCCGAAATACATTAGCACATTTTGTACAAGAATTGCTGTTGACTGACATGCTCGAATAAGGCTTATACATTATTGCGTGAGTCATTAATTGGGATTTTTAATTTCAAATTTTCAATTTTATCATAATTTTAGCGTTGTTATAAGTTTTTATTTTTTTAGGACCAAAAGGTGTCTTAGCACCTCAATTGCAACAGAAAACTCTGCTGCAAAAAGCTAATGATAAGGCAATAACTGATTCTTTTGGCGATGGTCAGGTAAGTAGTTTTTTTCTTCTTTTTCATTGTAAATATATTTTGCTATGTCAAAACGGTTGATCAAGGCAATATTCAAAATAAATCTGATTCGCCAAGCTGAAAAACAAAGCAAATTTGGACTAACCATTATAATTTGAAAAAGTGAATCTACGGTGAAGAATAATTTGTGAAAAAAAAGAGTTTTTTGACTCATCATTTATTCAACCTTGCATTTATTTAAAAAAGTTCCACTTAGTATTCGGTAGTGTTAATTATTTGAATGGCAGTTGGTATTGATCTTTTGTCATCTTTGACAACCTCATTGTCAATGAGCAACTATCTGGGCATGAGCACATTGTCAATCAGGATAAAAAGCATGTTATTTCATTGTTTCCTTATTTATTGGAGAAATTAGAGTTTCTAGCAGTAATCATTTTGTTTTAGCAGTCCAATGCAAAAGCAGCATCAGATAATCCAAAAGGAGCAATCAATTCTGTGACCTCAAATGTGTCTCACCAGCAGATGAGCTTTCTGCCCCCTGCTTCTCAAGGAGATGTGTGTGATAGCTTCACGAGCAACGAACCATTTAATTTATTTGCAAAGAAAGAAGCTGATCCCATCCATGTGCAGTCTGCAGAGGCAGGACAATATTATACAAACTATTCAGCTCAGCAACAAGGCTTAGTAAAAGGCTTTGAAAAACAGCAGCTGGGAGACCAGGATCATCCATCAGCTTTTGCAGCTGTCAAGCCCAGTAAAGTTACTGAGCAAGCTAGTCATTCAAATTTTAGTGCAGATAGTCTTGAAAAATCAGGTTTTGGTGCCGAGGAAGCTAAAACAGTTAGTACAAGAGCTGATGTCAGTGCTATGTTGAATTCTTCAATCCCTCAAGCAAACCCTCTGTTTAATTCATCAGCAACAAGTAGCTCGAACCTTCTTAATGATCCCCATAGATATACTGAGGACGAACCTTCCCTGATATTAGACCCAAGATCCCACGAGATGGGAAGTACTTCTAATGAGTTAGATAGATCTCAGAGCATACCTCAGCAGCACCATGTTCGTAAAGATTACCCAAAAAGTAAAGAGAATTTTCCATCTCGTGGGTCCTATAGCTCATTATCACCTTCCCGCGAAAGACACCCCTTTGATGTTGATGAACGGTCGAAAGAGGTCGATGATCGCTCTTCATCTGACTTATCTAGTGGAGGCTCGTCGAAAAGTGTCATTGATAGGACCAAAATGGCAGCTGCAGGGGGTGATTTACCTCAAGTGTTTGGAGCAAAAGACAATATACATGGCATTGAATTTAACCCTCAGAGCGAGTCTTCTCCTGCTCACAGCGCAAAGAAGTTCTCAGATGTATCGAAAAAAGATGATTCTGGCATGGCAGCGCATTCATTTGAGCATGGTTTACAATCAAGCAGTTTCGATAATCAAAATGTTGATTCACCTCAAAATATTCAAGACATTAATCCTTTAAACAAGCAAGCTGTTTCTGATAAATATCCTTCCAGCTCTAAAGCAATGTTTCCCGGACAATATGACTTTTTGTCTCAGTCAAGTTCTTCACAGTCAATGCAGTTTACACCTTCTTCATCAACGAGTCAAGTTTACCCTTTTCAAACGCATCCAACTCTATCAAGCTCTGGTAACCAGGGGTATTCTGAAACCTTGCCACAGTATAACACAGCAGATTTCCAGCCATCCACAGTTTCTGCAAGTAACTCAGCTTCTGAAAATCGATATAAAACAGATGTTGCCCCGGCAAGGAATGATTTTGGAATTAGACTTATTTCATCGCAAAGGAATGTAACTAATGATAGGTCTCCAAATGATGCCGATATATTGAAGAAATTTAGTGATGACAAAAATCCATCAAGTGTTAGCCAAAATACACATAATTATGTTCCTGGTCAAGAAGAAGAACATGTTAACAAAACCCTTCATAATGAAGTTGCATTTGCCGGAAATCAACCAATTATTGGTCATGAAAAACAGATAATTGACTCTCACCAGGGAAGCTTTTCCCAGCCCGGCTACAGTAGTCAGCAAAATGTTTTAAACCCAGGGAATCAGCCAGCGCCACACAGACAGTTCTCATCTCAAGCGGAACAGGTGCCATCAGGGACTGAAGAATCATTTCGTAATGTTTTGCCCCATAGTCGTCCTACCCAAAAAGACAATTTGCCAAATTTTTCGCAAGAGACGAACCAAATAAGCCTTCAACCACAACATGTACCTACTCAGCAAGCGCGAACTCCAGAATCCTTTGAAAATCAACCAGTTCAAATGGAGCAGTTACATAATAAGCAGTTACAGGGTATTATGCATGATTCTGAATCGAAATCATCCCCACATGTATTGCAACAGAATTCTTTTCCACAGGACACAAGCAGCTATAAAGAAGAACCACAGCACCGGTATCCTGATCCCAAGAATCAACAATTTTCACAGCAACCGCAGTTGCAGCGTCAACTCCAAAACCAACATGTCTTAGACGAAAAACAAGATCTGAACCAGAGTCAGCAATTACATCCACAACCCCAAAACGCACATCTGTCACACCGAGAGCAAAACATGCAACAAGAGCAACATCTTTCCCAACCCTTGGCTGCACAGCAGCAAGATTTGCAGCGGACACAACATCAGCAGCATATTCAGCAACAGCAGAGACAACTTTCACAACTGCAACAACCACAAGTATCTCAGCAGCAACAGCAACAGCAGCAACCCCAGTTACTTCAGCAGCAGCAGCCACAATCGTTCCAGGAACAGCAGCATGAACAATTTTCACAACTGCAACAACCACAAGTATCTCAGCAGAAACAGCAGCAACCCCAGTTACTTCAGCAGCAGCAGCAGCCACAATCGTTCCATGAACAGCAGCATGAACAATTTTCACGACAGCAACCACCACAGGTATCTCAGCAACAGGAGCAACCCCAACGATTTCAGAAGCAGCAACCACAATCATTACAGGAACAGCAACGGGAACAATTTTCACAACAGCAACATCCACAAGTATCCCAGCAACAGCAGCAGCATCAACCCCAGCTATTCCAGCAGCAACAAGCACAATCACTTCTTGAGCAACAACAACCCCAGGTATCCCAGCAACAACAGTTCCCACACACACAGCAAAATCAGTTTAACCAGTTGCCACAACAGCAGTTAGCCCAACAGCAACAGCAGCAACCGCAGCAACCGCAACAACAACAGCAGTTTCCCATGCAGTCAAATCAGCAGCCTTTGTCTTACCAACAGCAGCATCAGCCCTTTCCACAGCAACAGCAACAATTTAATCAGCAACAACAACCATTTAGCCAACACCAGCAGCTACCATACGGACAGCAACAACAACCACAATTTAGCCAATCACAACAGTTTGGCCAACAGCAGTACGGTTCTCAGTACTATAGCCATCAGCAAGGCCAGCAAGAGCCAAATGTGGATCAGAGGTTTGCGAACATGTCTCCTGCGGCACCAATGCAACCCCCCTATTCAGGGTATCAAGACCCAAACCAGATGCAAGGATGGAACTCTCAGTATGGAAATTACATGCAGAACTACAACTTGGACTATTATAATTGGTATTTTAGTAACATGGCAAATTGGGGATATCCTGGATATGGCTACCCTGGCTATCCAGGTATGAACTGGGACACTAGGTCGCAGCACAGTGACCAATTGTCCTACCGGAGCTCAACCAATTCTGAAGTCGATGTTGACAGCAGACCTTCATCAGTTATTGACAATAAACCTTTAGATGATTACGAAATCGAGACACTTGCAATGGGCAAAAAAGAGATTTCAACGTTTGAAAAAAGTAAGTAAACTTTGTTGATTGAAATGTTTTTCAATTGAATTTATTTCTTATATATATAGTTTCTTCTCTATTTTTTTTTAAAATCGATTTCATCCGGTTATTCGATGAAATACTGTTAAATGCTAAAATTCATAATATCATGAAATATGCATGTGCATATATCAGAACGTCTGTGAAAAATGTTTCTCTGTATTTAATAAATGCGCTAGACAGTTGTATATCGCTAGCAAAGTAGTGATTTGTATAAATGTTGTTGTGATGATTTGCGTTGATTTGTTCTTAACAAGATGTTATACTCACCAACAGCCATATAAGGATGATTCTTCACTCTTTTTAGTGATTTAATTATTGTTTATATCTTGTAGCAACACCAGAACCAGTCGAACGTCTCACCCCTTTGCATTTCTTCAAACCACATGTAACTGCAAAATTGACAAATGCTGGTTCCTGCATCATTACCAACCCAAACGACCCAATTGAAGGCCAAGTACCATCATTACTCTGTATACCCTCAAAGGTAATCCATTGTGGAATCAATTCTGCTTCAAGACCTTATGCTCTGTATTAAACCGTATTTTATATGAAAGAGAATTAACTTATCCCTACGCAACTTGTTAAAGAGAACATGTATCGAGAATATTGAAGATAATACACCAAAACAATTCTCTTTCATATAAAATACGGTTTTGTCAGTGTTTTTTTAAACAAATAGGACTGTTAGATTTGTTACAATTCTTTATAATGATTTCAATGTTATATTCCTATGCACTTTTATTACATATACACTTTAAGTCCCAAGAACAACAATGAAAGTGCACTATACAAATTTCATGATATACATACATAACACATAATACATGATGATGCATTACACATGTTAAATAAATTTAAAAGAGAAGAAAGACCTCAGTCACTAGAAACTGCTATATTTAGGAAACTCGTCATTTCGCTGGTTTACTTACGAGGATCAAATTTTTATGGATCATCAGTTAAGATCTGAGCAGCTAAAAAGCAAAATGTTCCCTTGCAGTGAATTTTGAATAATGAATGTTTTCTTTCGTTTTTCAGAATCTTTATTCCATAACAGACTACCTAGAGTTTCCAGGTCCTTTAATCAGGTATGTTTATGTTATGCATAGCAACTGAAACACTCCAACAACCTTTTTAGTCAATTCAGTCAAAACCTCTTTGCTACTTCTTTTGCTAAAATTTTTTTTTCTGCAGGGAGGATTCCAGTAAGAAGAAAGTGATCATGTTTGCAAAAAAGAGAGCCAAACATTGGTTGTCTAGCACAGAAATGAAGAAAGATTACTGCGATTCAATGGCACTGTTGTGGGAGTATATGGCAATGTTGGTGAAACACAACGGGGTGAGTAAAATCTTTGATCTTCCAGGTTTTCCGCTAAGTCTTTCCACTGTATAGTTTTACTTTCCAATAGGGGTATTTAAAGATAGAGCATAGTGCATAGTCCGGTTAGTTTCAAAGTTTCAATTCCGGCAACTGAACACAATAATATATGATGTAGGTTAATTTGAGTTTGTAAACTTATATATTTATACGTTCTGTTGACTTTTAGCAAGAAACTTTCAGTTACTTTTTATTACCAAATCCTTACTCAATAACTAAAAATTTAAAGATAAGGGCGTCTAATTTGTTTCTGTTATATTTATTTTGTGTTTCGTGTTTTTCCATTGAAACTCAGTCGCAAGCTTTATCTATCAATTAAAATTAGCTATATTCCTTCTTTATCAAAAAGTTCTTTTCTAAATTTGAATATTTTTCTTGCTTTTTGTGATTTCCATTTTACTTCTAGCTATATCTTAATAGAATCTAGCTTAAAAGTAATGAATGACCCTTTTAATTGTAAACAGGTTATTGGACATATCAGACCCGATACCTTTTGAATAACAAAGTTTAATTTTTCCTGAAATTTCTCATTTAGGTTTTTGATGGTCCAGATGTTGCAGAAATGTTGATGCAGCACAAAGCAAGCATTGGAAGCCAGCAAGAAGAAGATATGCTTGGCCTTCATGCATCAGAAGAAACGACAAAAATATCAAAGAAAGCGGCTTTGCAACAATACAGAGAGTACTTAATACAAGGCTCTAGAAAGGTTATATACGCAACTATGCTATCTTATGCTGTCTTCAGATCTAATGTCTTCTATGCATATTTTTTTAAAACTCGTTCGCATTTTAACTCTGCACTTTTTTGTTCGTCACTTTTTCTCTCTTATGAAATATCATCTGAAGCTCGAAGCCCGAAAAAACATGCTTCTATGTTTTTTATTGCATTCTAAATATGTTTATCAATTCCATCACAGGAGGCACTTGACTTTGCAATGAACCATGATTTATGGGGACATGCTTTGACATTGTCGTACAAAATGGATCATAAACTCCACCATGTTGTGATGAGCAGGTAACTTGCTTTGTTATAAATCCTTTCATAATAAGTCTAAAATGAGGTAATTGAAATGTCGCAGTCATGTAGCAATTTTTTTTAATACCCGCACAAAGCTCGGTCCGTTCCAGTGTTGAGTGTTTTTGTTTATTTGAGAAATCATTTTCTCTGAATTGTATTGATCTTGGTTTTCATGTAGTTCGAAATGCTTGGCAAAGTGCCGAAATTGTGCTGCGCTACTGTTGATATGGTGCTGCCCTTCCTTAGATTTGACTGGAAGCAGACGTTTCTCTATACAATGTTTTGTTTAGCTTGGCTATGTATATCTTGAACTCGTTTTTTAGTGTCCATCAGATCTTAAAACTTTTATTTTTATTTGCAATTTATGATGTTTCTGGTCGAGACTTTTAGCAATCTTCGATATCTTTCTTAGATGTAAGGACGGAAATTATGTTCTTGCTGGTGTTGAATTCAAACCCCCGTTTTCTTTTTTCTCGATTGCATAAAAGCTGTCATCCTGTCTTTTGTCTGCTCTAAATTATCACCCAGAAATTTCAAACAGTGCTAAAACACAGATGATATTCTACTTTGGATGGATTAAAAAGGTTGTTTAGGCAATATAGGGCTTTAGAGTGAAAGGGCTCTCAATGGAAAATTAAAAACAAATGAAGCGGTTGTCGTGTATCTTCTATGATAGCCTCACTTTGTTCTTTAGATAACGAGACTGACAAACAAGACTCTTAGCTTAAGAAAGCACTGGTAACTGGTGATTGAAATTTAATAATAAAAATTTTCCTTTATTTTTTTTACAGATTGATCGCATCTTTAGAAGATGACGACTCCTTGGTATCACTGTATGGCCACCTTGGTGGACGAGGTCTCCCACTCCAATCAGTACGTCGTTATGTCTATGATATGCTTACTACAAAATGGCGGGTTTTTGAGCAATTTAGCTTATTCTTTTGTTTCATAGCCCTAAAACAGGCATCAAAATCGTTTTATTTGGTTTTTTTATTCTTAGATAAGACTTAAGTACCATGTCAGGATTTCCACTTTTTCTGCCCCAGCCCTTTTTCTGCACGTCTGTGGTGGCTGCTACCTCTTGTTTCTGTTCTTCTTTGAAGCTCTTGAGTTTCTTAAACGATAATGCTCAAAGATTTTAGATAAACATTTTGCAGAAATCATTATGCTACATAACATAATTTTTGTTTGATTTGCTGTTATAATCTTTATTTCTTGTTCCATTTAGTGTCATGCTGTTAAAAATGGAACGGCTGACTGGAGAGAACACTTGGCCATGCTAATTGCCAATCCAACCAAAAATAAAGACAGAGACAAGAAAGATATTTTATCCCTTGGTGATGCACTGAGTAAGCAGTAAATCATTCTTTTTGGCTGTCATTTGCTGCTTTATACTATAACTCATCTTTCATTCCTTTTTGAATAAGTAATTAATCCGAAATAATTTACCACCGAATTTTTACTTTATTTATCCTTCAGCAGATTTGCTCAAAGCAATTTAGGTGATGCTCGTGCAATCGCAAAGTATTTTATCAGCAAGAATTTTAAAGCCCTTGATTTTTTCCGTTTGTATAATTCCAGAGTAAAGAACTTCTGCTATGATAGGCTGCCTAATAACCTACCTTAAAGATTTGTTCATTAAGAAATAGCTTTTCAGTGTCCGATCAGATAATAAATTGTTATTATCCTATCACCTCAGGAGTTCAAGGAAATATCGGTGGAGCGCATCTTTGTTACATTCTATCAAATGTGCGGATATCACCACTAACAGAGGATGCCACGCGAATTTGTCTTCTTGGTGAGGACCACAGGTGAGCATTGAAGAAAATCAACTGATTTAAATCTGGCGATTGCTACATATATAAACAGGCAATAAATCATAATGAAATTTCTTTTTCTGTATGATCAGTTAAGTTCACTCTGCTGTTAAAATTGCAGATTGTTTTGAAATGCTTTTTTTTATAATGCAATTGTTTCGCTTTCAAGATCAGTGTGCTGTGCTCTTTCCTTCTAGTTGACAATAGACATTACATACAATTATGTCCTTGTAAATAAACAACTTTTTTATATGAAATGAATTTGAAACAATATTTTCGACGAACTGGGTTATGTTATTTCAATCTTTTTATGTGATCTAAAAGCATAATATTTGCGCTCTCTCTTGAAGGAAATTCTACAAAAATAGGACAGTATACCAGTCACTTTTAAACTGATTAAATGTTGTATTATTTCTATGTTGTGTACTATAATATCAGCGTGCCTAGCTGATATTTTATACTTATATTATATTATGCTAATAGTGGCATGCTTATTTTGAAGCAATCTCGAAAATATATCAAGGCCAGATCTCTGGGCGAAGAATGAGTGTTTACAACTTACTGAGGTAAATATCTGTTTTTATTTCATCTCGTTTACATTTTCATTTCAAACTTACTTTACAGAGTTTCTTTGAAGCCCTCTTTCATTAGACTTTCTGCGTAAAGAATTGTGTGTTCCTGTGGAAGATATGTTAGCTGGATATATTTATAATGAGGATTTTGTTAAATCACTTTGGAAATATGTGAAGTGTGATTTATTGATGTTCCTCAAAAGTTGCACATTGTGATTTCCTATGGGTGATCTGTCTTTATTAGAAAAAGATCAATAAAAGAGCAATTCATACAGAAGATATTTTCAAGGCTTTTTCGTATGAGTCCCTGTAAGAATCACCCCAATCTGAAAAGTGAGGAGTTTTTAATTGAACTTCGCTCTTACTTTTTAGATGTACGAATATGCTCTGTGGCTTAGATCAAAAGACTTCTACATCCCTTCGTTACAGGTACATGTCTCCTGATTTTTTTTCACTGTGCTTTTTAGCCCTTGTCTATGTACAAAGTACCATCGTTTCATAACTAATATTTTATTTAGAATGTTTTAAGGTTTGTTACAAGGTATCTTTTCTTGCGAGTTATCTGATTAAGTATCCTTGTCTTGTTTAATCTTAGTTCATGTTCATAGTTTGAAAGTGCTAATTTTTGTATAAAATTAGGAAGTGGTAATAGAATGTAATGGGTAATAGAATGTAATGATGAGCACATTGGTTATTGCCAGCACTTCCTTATAAGTATTAGCAAATTCTATCAAAAGCTTGTTTATTTAGCCTGTACTGTTGAAGGAATGATGGCCTTCTCGGTAAAGATATGTAGTGTTTTCCCCAAATGATTTTGCTCTTTACTAATATTTGTGTCCTGTTTGTTTCAGAGCATGAAATTGATATACATCAATAGGTTATCAGAAGCGGGGATGTTGGCAGAGGTTTGTTTTGTTAGTCGTTTGCTAACGAGAGCAACATTGCACTTAGTAGCATCATTGCAGCCTCTAATATTGTTCATTAATTGATTCTTTCGCCTGCCTTGATTGTCTACCAAAACATTTCACTCTTTTTGTCGTTTGTAAATGACACGAATTATGTAAACCCCTTTAAAGTATCATTATTGATTTTGACCAATTTGGGTGAAATTTAATTATTGCTGGGTAATAAATATATAGTATGTTTGCTGGAAGACCGTGATCTCCAACGTCTGTATCGGATAGGGTACCAACAGATAGAGAGAGGCTCCTCAATTGCGTGAAGTGTGCTTTTATGTAGCAAAATTAGAAAAAGTTACTAAAGATTGATTTTACGTAAAGGCTCATTAGTGTGATACGGCTTTACGCAGTCTTTGTATGTCCTTTTGAATTTTTTTGTTGAAATGGCTGATGGAAGTCTGAATTATTTTCCTGCATTTTGTACATGGTAGAAAAAAACATTAAATCGTCACCTCTCCACGTCGTTCAAAAGTAGGTTTTTGTTAAAACATCTATTTCTTTTGACATATGTACATTTTTCAATTTTAGGCTCACAGTTATTGTGAATCGATAGCTCATATACTTTTGGAGAATTCTTTGAGTTTTTATCATGAGCAAAGTTTCATCACATTGTTTGCCAAGGTTAGTATGTTTGCTATTAACAATTGGCCTATTGTTTCCCCCAAAGATTGATGGTTTTTAGGTTTATTTCAAAGATTAATATTGTACTCAGAAGTTACCTATCCTCATTTATAGGCATTTGAAAGACTTCAGTACCAATCCATGGAATCATATGATGATCCAATTTCAGAATTGTATCTAAAGATAGCTGAACTTCGAGATCGCGATCGTAGCAATGACGCGGTATGTATGAATTTTCGTACACGACATTTTGTGTAGGATTTTGTTGGTTGAGATTTTCACAGATATAGATAAGGTATTTCATAAACCATCCTGGTATATAAAAAAAGAAGATAAACATAGTCTCATCAAGCCCCTGCTGCAGATGAATAGCAATTGATGCTCAGTTCAGAGTAGGTAGGAAGGGTTGATGAAAGAAAGAGAAGAAAGAGGGGGAAAGAGATTAGGAAAGAAGGGTGACGGTGTGGAATGAGATCATGGAGGTACCAGAAAAAGCAAAAAAACTGAATGGCAGATTAAAAGAAAATTTTGGCTTGTGATGAGTCATTAATCGTTAGCCAACCTTTATTTAATCTGAAACCATGCTGTTTCTAGTAGCAAAGGTGAACCAATGAAATAATCATCGTTAATTTAGTAGTTATTTAACCCTGGTATATATTCTCGTTGTATTTTTGGTGTCCCCTATGTTAATACATTAATACAACACAGGCCAACCAAAATAATTTCAAAAAGCATGACATATGAGAGAGGCTCTCCCGAAATTTGGGATTACGGAAACCGAAGGTCTAATGACTTTGGCTGAGTCGGCTCTGGTTTTGAAATTATCGAACATCCCAAATTATCAGGTTTTGGTCAACTCTTCTGTTGATAAATATTAAACGTCAGTTGCAGTCATTAGGGGTTGGGCTAAAAAACAATCCAAAAGAAAATATATCCCAATGATACGAGACACGTAATGTTTTTGACCGTAATGTTGTTGCATCACATGACATAATATCATACATTTAGGCTTGTTGCAATATGAAGCTTACAAAGAATCAAACCCTCATTAAAGGAAATTTGTAAGCTATTAGTTAACATCGATGAAGGTTTTTCTAGACAGCTCTTAAAAAAGTATCAAATAGATTCATCTTAGATTAAAAGATTAAAATGCAGATCAGATCCACGCGTTGAAAAATAGTTAACTTAGCTCTATCTCAAAAACTAGTCAAGTGCGCAAAACTGGTGCCATTTCGGACTGATCGATCCCTTTATAACCCAGAAACGTTCTCATCTTATATGCCAGGAAAATTTTGTTGGCTTGTGTAATATACAAATGGTGTTGAAGAAAATATTGTTTTTGTTTAGAATATTATGTGGATTATATAATTTGCAGGCATACGAGGCTGCAGCTGCGAAGGCAAACTTGGTACCAAGGCCTATATCTCCCCCTGAAACACCAGACAGCATGTCGAGGGAAACACCTTCACAAGCCTCTCAAGACTATAACGAGCAAAGCAAGGACTCAGCAGAATTGCCAACGGGACTTAATCAGCAGCAAGTAAATCCCCAAGCTGAAAATCAACCTCAACCAGACCAAAACGAAGATAATGATCCTCTCAACAAAGGAGGTGATGCTTCGCATTGGCAAAACGAAAGTGCTTCGCAGTGGCCCAGTGAAGAAGTTACTGGTAGTAACGCACAGTTCTGGCAACCGGACCAAGCTGATGGGACATTTTATAACCAGAGTCAAGTTAACTACGAAGAGTACAACGAGCAGTATCCGTCACAGACTGAAGCAGGCAATGCAGCAGATCAGAGCAATGCCCAGTGGAGCGGAGATGGTTATCAACAACAAGGTTATGATGGTCAGTACCAACCGGATGAGACCCAGATGCAACAGCCTGTTGGCACTGATCAACAATACCAGGGTAACCAGTTTGCTGGTAACGCTGAAGGCCAACAGTTTGGCCAGTTCTTCAACCCAGGGCAGTATCAACAGCAAGGTTACATGCCGCAGCCGGATGGGTTCGGTTCAGGCTATCCGTATCAAATGGACCCAACTGCCCAGCCTAGTAAGCCCTTCTCGATTTCTTTATAAATATACTCGTATCACTTGAAAATCTTTTAAAAGCATTTACTATGTTACATTGGTGTGATTTATTTGCTTCTCAGTACCTAAAGCAGTGACATATGAATTTATTACATGGTATCTTTTTAAACAATCACAAATACTTATTTCTTTCCTTTGGCTCATTATGATTCCCCGTATTTTCAGCTTTTGAACCAAACATCAACACAGCAAATACAGATCCTAATCATGCTGAGGAGGCGGAAGAAGAAGAAAGTCTTTTTAACGAAATTGCAAAGGTTTGAACAGGAATTGTATTTAATTGTCTGTCTCAGAATATCTTCATTTTCTTTCTCTCAGAAGGTTGTTATGTCCTTTTCTATTCGAAGCTTGTTGTGTGAATCGGAACATACTCAAAAAAAATTTGTAATTACATTAATTATAGGTATAAATGTGTTTCTACTTTGCTACGACATTACTATGTATTGACAAAGTAAATTTTTCTATAAGTTCCAAAACAACTTTGACGTAATAACCTATATAAAAATGACGTAATGACGTAATATGCGAAATATTTTGAAGGCCGAATGGTTGTACTTCTGCCTTATGAGTGATCACTCAAATCTATTGGCAGTTTACTAAACCATAAAGTACATGTATATGAAATACGTAAAATCGAATCTCTCGCATTTTAGCAGACAGTTTTTTGGGAACTAGGTTAAAAACAAATGTTATTATTTCTAGTCATTACAATCAAGTAATTGTTGTGTTTATTTCAAAATTATTTCAGCTATTTTTAATGCATAGTTTGTTTCGATAAATTTTGACCTGAATTTGTGCCTTTTTTCAGAAAAATGCAAGGATAGAAAAAAAGGAAGGTTCGTGTATTATATTAGTTCTGTTCACATTCACAATATATTAGCAATCTGTAAAATATTCTGAACATATCAGCAAAGCCTTTCATTACTTATTCCCTACTTCAAAGAAGTAAGCTTGTTGAGTTGGTCATTGCGATGTATAGTAATCGCCATGTTCATATGTTCATTGAAACCATGTATTCTTTATTCCATTTATTTTTTATTCTTGTAAGCAGACGAAATATCCATGCTTTGTTCAGCAACATTCATCTCATACTTTAATCCCCAATCTTTCTGCCTTAATTTTGGCTCTGACATAATTACGAGTCTAACTGAACTAATATTCTTTAGCAAAATTTAGCTCACGGGCTATTTTAGTTTGTCGGTTTTGCGTTCTTCTTGAGCTATGTACTGAGTTATGAGAGCATTATTATTTGCCAAAATGTTATATTGTAACGTTCATTTATATCTACTTCTGGTATCACCAATTAATGTTTTTCTTGTTAGGGGCTGTGGATAAGGAGAACAAAGATGAAAAGAAAGAAGTGAAAAAGCCAGCTGAGAAGGTTTGTGAAGACCAATAAGCCATATACCAATTTTAAACCAGGTTTCAAGGAAATATCGATATGTGCGACTTGTCAATCGAAGTTTGCAAATTTGTGAATCGTCTTCGAAAAGTTTCCAGCTTTTTCGGAAGATTATTTTGATACAATGATGATTAAAATTTTAAATATCCAACAGCCTCAGAAATTTTGTTTCGTATAACGCGAAGTCATACATTTTTGTTTTCCAAATAAATTTTTATCCTGTCTCTGTCACTAAATGATAAATGCATCTTGATAATTTTCATTAAACCTAAGATATATTTTAAGTGCTTACGACTCTCTTCCAGTGCTTTTTGTAGACTTAATTTTCCAAATTTATTATAGCGTGGATGGTTGCCATCTTTTTTGGGGCGCCTGACTGGTGGAAGAAAAGAAGCAGACTTGCCGGATGACACTGATAAATCGGTTGGCCTTTTTGTTTCGTTTCTTTTTAATCCTCGTGTTTTTTTATTCTTTTGAAGCATTTACCAAGGTCGTTACCGTTACGCTCTCTTTATACTTTGTTAGCATCCTTTAAGCTATTTAGGTTAATCTTTACCTGTTATCAAAGAATTGTTTGTATCATATATGCAATATAGTGCATACTGAACCTGGATATTTTTTAGATTTACCATTTATTTAAAGAGTGGTATTATCAGTCTCACGTCGGTACCATAATAATTGTTCAATAGCCTCTGAGCTGCACCGTTGTCGCCAAAGCTCCAATGACTTAAAACCATTTTAATTGCAATCTTTTGTCTTTCCCTTACAACTTTTTAAATTTTTATGAACTCGAGTGCAGAATTAGCTTCTTTAAAATCAAAGTACCAGGACTTGTTAGCAAACTTGTCCATTCCATCTGAATTTGTTTTTTAAGGTTTCTTATTTGGCATTAAACCTCTTTTGTAGATATATTTCGACGAAAAGAAAGGAAAGTGGGTGGACAAGAACGCAACGGACGAGGTGAATTGTTAACAAGACCAATCTTTTATTCACCTGGAGATAGTCATATAATCTCACTGAGTGTTTTGGTATATAAATCATCCTGCCTAGTAGAAATGTAAACGAATTTGCTGGTGTTAATTTCCTCGAGGTCCTTTTGATTTTTAGAAGTTTTCGTACTGAACATATCGATCTGCGGTAGCTTTGGCTCTTGTTGTAATCTTGTTTATTAAAATATTGCTATGTAAAATGACAGAATTAAACACTAGTTCTCCAACAAATTTTAACACGTTTTATTGAACTTCAGAGTGTCGCCCCACCGCCGCCACCTCCAACAGACTCACAGATCACAGCCCCTGCTTTGAAGCCAAAATTGCCTCCAAGCAATTTCGAGAGCTTGCCAGCATCTAACACGTTCCCCTCTCCTGTTATGAACAGAAGACCAAATGCATCCGACTCAAATCTCGTCGCAGGCAGCAAGGAAGGTAATACTTGGCAGCAACTTTGCATTGTGTGTTTTGAAGTTAATGACAGTTTGGCTGTTTAATACTTAATTAGAATCTAAAAAGGGAATCGACTTTGACTATGGAGCCAGAAAACTCGGTACCATTACAAACTTATGACTTTATATGTACCTGTGAAAAGCATGACTCAAAATGAAATGACAAATGAGACTACTGATTTGTCTGTATTTTTTATTTATGGCTCTTAGAATAACTGAAGTATTTTTGATATTTCAGTTTTAGTTGAATTTCAAATTTTATATTGAGAATACAAGTTTTCAGCCTACTCCATCAGGCCTACTGGGATATTTCTTCCCTTAAATGCATGCCGTTTTAGTACCCAAGTGACACATACTTTTCAAATGGCACGTTTTGACAAACTTACTTCTGGCAGGTTAAACAGTTAAAGGTCAGGGCTTTTGCTTAATTGCTCTGCTGTCCATCTGCTGTGTCAATATATTTTATGGATATTGACGTTAATATTCTTTTTCAGATGAGCCAAAAATGCCAACGGCACCAAGCAAGTTTTCAAGAACTGCTCATGGGATGAATAGACGAGGTAAATTTATTTGTCTCTTCTGACCAAATTTGTAAGAAGCAGTCAAAATAACGATTAACGTTCTAAGATTGTTGCTCAGAATTGGGGCAAACTTTGGTTGGCTTATTGCTTTGAAAGTTTAACTTGTTTTATAGTTTTTTATGAAGTTTGATTTATTTCCCTTCAAAAGAAGTACTTTCTTTTTAATAGGCCATCGATACGTGAATTCCTTTGGCAGCATCAATAAATCGGATTCTACTGACAGCCCACCAGTGCCAGCAATGTTCAACCCTATTGGAATGCCGCAACAGGCTCCCGTCAACTTCTTTGTTCCGCAGAACCCCGATGAAACCCAAGGTAAGGGCTCGCCATCATTATTTCTGCTTCATTTATTGCCAGGAGGCGGTTCCTTATGACCATGGAAGCTGCTGATTACCCTATCACCTCAGAAGCAAGCCAAAATTTTTTATTTTTTATTATTTTTGTTTTCAAATTTGCTCACCCAGCAAACCCATGGGTGTAATGTAATATCGTGGTATTTTCAAAAAACGCTAGGGCAAACAGAAATCAAAGTCAAAGCAAAGCGATTGAATAGTTTTCATGCAGAGTTATATTTTCTTTAAGACTGATCTTAGAAGTCTCCTGTACATACAAAATTAAAGGATCGAAAGACAACATGTTAATAGTAAAGCTGTTATTAATGCGTATTACGCAAGAACTGTCAGATCGAAGATAGAAGTGAAACTTAGTGTTTTTGTTTGCTATTCCTAAGTATTTTGAAATTTGCGCATTCAGCACGTTCATGGGCCGGTAAAACGCACGTGAGCCTGCTGGAAGGGTTGGCTTGTTTCCGAGGTAATGGAATATGATGTACCTAACACATTCAGTGAAGCAAATATTCTGCTACTATTTCTTTTTTAATAGTCTTTGATAATGGAGAAAATTACCTCTTCAAATGGAAAATATATATATTTAAGAAAACAAATAATTGGTTCAAATGCTGGTTTGCAATGTGTCTTTGGATAATTTATGTACAGATGGTAGTAAATGTCTGTTTGTTAAAATCTTCTCTCAAAAGCATAAATCTCTTTTGAATTCCAGATAGTGACGTTAATGGTTCAAGTACACAGGGGAATGAAGTACGTAAATTGTTTGCTTATTTTATTACTATAATCTACCACTACTGCCTTTGATGTCTGCAGGCGCCTGTAGTCTACCTGTCATGTCTCGTAAGGCTCTTTGATGATAAACGATCAGTGTAAAGCATCCATAAAGAGCCGTAGGCCAAAAATTGCGTATTCTGATCTCTTTCGCATTCTCTAAAGCTTTTTAGAAACACATTCTAACATCCTGCGTGCCCAAACAACTCTCCAGTTGGATCAATGTCTGTGATATATTCAATGACAATATGTATCCAGTACGATTAAATCGGTTTGCTGAGCGATGAATGTAGTGCATTGCCCTATACTTAATTACGTTTTAATATTTTAATATTAGAAATTAAGTGTTCAGTGTCAAACAAAATGTGTCATGTATCATACAAAATAGGTCTAGTCGCAATAGAAATCACGTGTTATGAAGCCATTTAAGGTATTTGTTTAATAGAATTCTCTACATTTTCATATTGCATTTCTACCTAGATTGCTCAAAATTCCTTCTCTCAACAACAGCAACAACAACAACCACAACAACAACAACAGCAACAACAGCAACCAAATCAGTATTTCCAGCATCAACCAAACCAGGCTAATCAACAACAGCAACCTATGGAGCAGGCAGCGCAGCAGCAATCATCACAGCAGCCTCCTCAGCAACCAGCATTTTTTAATCCTGCGAACATGCCACAGACTAGAACAATGAATCAACGCAGTAGATTTCGAAGGTGAAATTAGATTTCGATGCTAATTAATTGTGCGCCATTAGAGAAAAACCAAGTATTGTAAAAAAGGTTATAAAATATACTTGGGCGAGGCACAAACAATTCAGAAATTAATTGCCCTTTGACCTGATATAATTTTAGTGCTTCTTAAAACGCGTAACAGTCCTTATGCGAATCAAATATTTTGTTGCAAGTTAAAATTTACCGCTTAAATAATCTTGACCTAATGTGCTGAATTTCACAAATGATTTTTATTATCATATTTTGAGACCTAAGATTACAGGTTTTCTCATTCCCCTAATTTAAGTAGCTCAAAGCTACACATTTTTGTGGCAATATCAAGAATCAATGCATTTGCTTAAGTGAATTTGCTAGGATTTATCGTAGGTCCATTGTTTCATAGTCCAGCGTTTCGTTGTATCGTCCCTTGAAATGAATTTTTCTAGTGATTATAAAAAATAAATGCTTATTGTAAGATGTTAACAAAGATAAGATTTAATTAAATTTCAGAACTCTAGGAGCACAGTTTGCCTATGTGTGAAATATGTATCATCGATAATAAAATACAGTAAAACGGTATAAAGCTGTGCTGGACAAATATTATATAGATTGATTTATTGAACTTAAAGCAGTAAGTTTTGTTTTTGAGTCGTCATAGCCTTGAGTGGGTCTGTTTTCAGAGCAGGGAAAAATTATCTGGTTTCTTCGATACACTTGTTGCCTAGCGCTTCGATGACTTCACCTGGAGATCTCTGTTCAGTGCTTCAACGCTCTGGTGTCATTTCGTTTTAGTTTTGAAGCTTCATGGAGACCCATATAGCCTTTTTCTATTAATAGAAGCAATAGTCCACGTGCTATGCTTGTCCAAGTCAATCTCTTCTAAACCTACTTCATACCAGTTTCCCACCTTTAACAACGCAAATCATATCTTTATTTAGATCGACAAGAGGATCTCGTAAGAGTTTTCTTTGCAAGGAATTCGCTATTTTAAACATACAGCATGACAATTTATCACAGATTCTGGTTGTTTGCTCGTGATTTTTCGATGTCTCACGCCAAATGTAGCCATATTTGCAATAAACGTCGTGAGTTGGCAGCAGGCATGACATATGTCGTTTCAGAAAAGTTGCGAAATTCCCTTCATGAATATTTAAACGCGCAGCAAAGTTTCTATGATAACTTCACCGGCATCTTTTGTCTTCTTTTTAAACTCTCGTCGTATCCTACTTTTTGCAAAGTATCACCGCGATTCATCACGAATCACCTCGAATCACCTTGAATCACCTTGAATCACCTCGAATCAATGCTATTAAAGAGCCCATAAAAATCTATATGCTTCAAATATTTTTAACAATGAACCGCACTTTATATTTTTTTAGCACCATTCGATGTCAATACGAGTGCATGCTTAACCTCATTTCTACCTACTGAAACGAGGTGCTCTGCAAAATATAAGAACCAGCAAGCAAGTTGAAGTGATTATGAACAAAATCAAGAAGAAACGATCCAAAACTCTGGCAGCCTTTACCCAGTCTCTTTTACGTTCTGCAAGAATCTCTTCCCTCTTTTTCTTTTCCTGCTTTTTGTAGATTGCGGTGCCTTGAGCGCGTAGACTGTCGCCGAGAAGCATGAAAGCAGAGCTGTTTATAGCCTTTCCGATTGCGAAATGAGTTTCGCCACTTCTAGATAATCGCTTGCGAATACTGGGGTTTGTTTGGGAGATCCTGCTTGCTGTAGACATTTTTTTCTTGGCCTTCGTAGGTTCTGTATTGATTTCAAGGCAGGACGTGCTTTCATGTATGAGACTGTTAAGTTCGTCTTCGGAAGCATTGCTAAACTTAGCTGATATTCTCTTCATGTTTGCACCTCTGAAAGACCGCTCATCATTTGTCGTTGTTTGTTTCTTACTGAAGTTGGCCTGAATAACCTCTTCCTCCTTTCCTAGCAAGTTTTGTTGTTCGCAATCTGTTACGGTGATAAGTATATCGTCATTTATAGCTGACAGCTTGCTTTCGATGCTTTTTTCTCTTGGAATTATGACATCGGTTGTTAAAATGTCCGGCTGATGCGGTGTCTTTAAATTGTCATTTTGGTCTTGATTTGGTGCTTGGAAGGGGTCATTCTTGTCTGATAACGGTACGATTGCTCGTTCAGTTTGATCGTCATGAGCATCAACTGGATCTGCTTCTTTTTCAAATCTTTTGCTTGCACAGAACAAAACTGGATACATCCATTTCAAGAGAATCAATCTGACCAGCCAAGGCATTTCCCTGTTGCTTCTATGATAGAAGTTCAATATAACGGTTGTCACAACGAGAGAGAATGCTGTTTGGAATATCGTCGCCAAATAATATTGGGCCAGAAATGGGAAATCAAATCTTGGCATTAGCTGACTTGTCATTTCTTGGAAAACCGTCACTGCAAGCAGCACTGTTATGCTGAGGCCGATTCTTTCTCCAGATTCTGGTGGCAGAATAAAACCAAGATACACCAGCGACGACAACAACGCACATGGAATAATCAGTGTTAGCTCATAGCTTATTGCATGTCTTCTCACGCTGACAGTTAGAGTCATATCAACGAACGGGTTGGCACAGCACTGGTACTTCTTTGCGTTTCGCTTTGCTGTCAAGCCTAGGAGTTTAACAATAGATTATCATCGTGCAATTATTTTTTCAAAGGTGGAAATGAAAATAATGATGAAAGCTTTCTCACGATTGGGGACAAGAAATCAGTGGTGAAGATTTTCAGAGTAGTTGCAATCAAAAGAGTCTACAAATAAATTAATTTCCATCTCTTATCAAATAATTAAAAAAAATATGCAGTTTTTGTTTTCGTCGTTTCTCTTTTCCACAACCATCTTATACAAGCTCTCCCCACTGCTTCTGCTTTGCCTGGCAATTAACCCCGTCTCCTAAAGGTGTCTTTGATTGCCATTGTTTGAATGTCTACTTTTTGGCCCAAAAGAACTCTTCGCTCAATGATTAATGGTAGTGAAGAAACAGATGACTAAATGTATACCAATATTTCCTGATATTCTAATACTGATATCAGCTTAATTTTTGCAACCAACATTATATTTTCTACACCCTTTCTCACTCATCTTTTGAATGAGAACCAGTTAACACTGTTGAAGCTCGGTGTTCTAACCTTTTGAAGAATTTTAGGCTCGGGTGTTCTTAATGTTGTTATTATGTCTAAATTGATTTTTAAATGGCCTAATTTGATTCGAAAACTTAGGCCTATTTCGATCCACAACTGGGTATATATATTTCTTAGCGTAGAGTTTTCGATCTATGTTCTGACGTTTTAAACTCTGAAGAGTGTCAGACGAAAAGCTTTAGTTTACTAAATGTTTGCTTTTTTCAAACCCATTTACAAGTTTTGTACCACCAAAAGATTGTTTGCAAATTGATTTTTCTACAATTGCATATTATAAACTGTTTCTCAGACCACCAACAAACAGTTTTGCATGACATTTTTAGTTGTAAGGGTGCTTAACTCACGAAATCTACTTTGCATGTTTTTTTAAATGGTGTAGAAGGGCCCGAATAATTTGCATGTAGGAATACCCACCTAACAACTCCCATTCACCATGGTTAATGTAGTAATCATTTGCCGAGGTGGAATTGGGAGGGTCTTCGATGTCAATCATCGATGCGTCGTGAGCCCACGATCCAAATTTCAATTTACATACTTGGTCATCAAAAGGAAAGAAACGCACATCCATGGGGCAGATGCTACGAAATATTGCAGGATTGAGCCAAGAGTTCTTGCCATCATAGTTAACTTGGACTTTGTGTTTGTAAGTTTCAAGGCCACCACTGAATTCACCATTTTCGTCAATGCTAGAAAATGAATGCTTTAACTGAAGGTACAATTAAATATTACATTGACTTTTGTTGACCTAAATTAACATTTCAAAATTTCAATATGCGTTTCTGAAATAGCTTTGACCAAATCCTCCACTACTGGGCTTGTACGTTTTTGTTACCAGGTTAAGTTCTAACTGACCAAGATTGCAACTCTTTCTATTGGTCCAATTTTTGAATGGCATGTATAGTGGCCAATCAGCTTAAAGACTCATTGCTAACAATGAGCCTTTGCGAGGGTGGCAAATAATCCAGGCGACAATCAAAACAATGGCAGTAAACTTTACGGATTAACCATAATTGATTTCAGACTGTCTGAAAATGCATTATGGGATGCTTGCGTAGCGCAATGGCTCATTGTTAGCAATGAGTCTTTAACATTAGTTGACATATGTCAGAGGGGTGTCAGAGCCAAAAATATTTTTCGAAACTCTTAAATGATATACTATTTACAATGTCGTTGATTTTTTGCTAAAAAGTTCATTGCAGGGGAATCAAAAGTTCAACTGCTAAGCTATCAAATACCGAGAAAATGTGTGCAGTCGATTTTCATTCAAACCATTCGCTTACGAATGCATCTCAATTCTACAAAGTGCTATACTACTGCAGCTTCTTAAACCATTTTTTCCTTCAGTTGAAAACGTCGGTCGTATTTTTTCTACGGTTACAGAGCCTTTTACATGACAAGTTTGAAAAGAATATTTGTTGGGCATGCTGAAGGAAACGAACAGAGCTGGCATTTTACTCGCTTACCTGTTATAAAGAACAATGTCTGGAACCCATACTTTGGCTGGATTGACAAATAGTGTTGTTACATTCCCGTACTCCTTTGGATCCCAACGCAGTAATGGATTTGTCCAGTACTTGAAGCGAGAGACATATTTAAACAAACCTTTTATGTCTTATGTATATAACAAAAAATGCTTCGTTTGGGTGACTTGTTAAACGTTGTAATCTTGGAAGTAACTTAAAAAGCTTAAAATTACAAAAGAGCAAGGCATTTACGTGTGAAATTCATTTATCTTAGTGGACGTTTTGCCTAATCTAATTCTGGGGTTGCTTAGAATAAATCTTACTTTGGGCTTTAGTAGCTGCAACTGTTATACTATAAAGACGAGAAAACACAAATACATAAGTATGTGGATATCTTAAACGGTTATGTGTATGTGAATGCTTAAAATGAACGCATAGGAACTAACGTCATTGACTAATTTCCATATAACTCAAAATAGAATTAGCAGTGTGTATATTTTAGTTCATCAAACAATGCGTGCCCACTATAGAAATAAACGTAGATGTGGATTGAAATCGGAAAGTAGGGTAAGGGGGGAAGCTAGGCTATTATTGCTTCAAACTACCATTTTTTCTGAACGCAAAATATTCTTGTGAACAGACTATGTTCCTCTGTCTGCGTAATATCATGTCTTTCGTCCTTGAACTTAAGTCCAGATCTAGCTAAAAGCCATAAGACTCCTTTTCGCCATTATCCAATATTTATTTACACCCCGAATGAACAATCCACCACCCCCTAGAGCATTGATTAAATGTTTTGCTTTGAGGGTCTACAGTCATACCCATCCGATAGGAATAAATTAGACACCATGCAATCTTTGGCGGACATATAAAACAACATTGTTTGAAAGGAGAAGGGTCTGCAATCGAAGTCTGTATTAGAAGTCTATAAAACCATTAATAAAACGTTTATCTGATTATTCCTTATACTCACCTGATTCACCCAAACATACAATTTGACAAACTGGTCTCTTTCATTCTGCATATAGAGAACACAGGCAATTTAGGAATATTTTTTGAAGTTGATGGAGCTGGGGTTGCAAGACTGGTGCAATGAATATTCAATGATTTATAACGTTATACAGATCAGGGCAAAGATTTGCAGGGCAGGGGCGATTTTCGTGTTACGATAGGAAAATCAACGACGTTTTTTTCTTTTCTATAACCTCTAAACTTTTGTTTTTGCATATACATGAACAAACCTGAGAAAAAAATAGAGGAGCCGAAAGAGATAAAAACAGCGTTAGAACATTCCCAGCCTCAAAAAAAGAGATAAAAAGAATGTTTTTAAACTTTTCTTTTATTGAAGAAAAAAGAGCAGATTTTATCGGCTTATAAACTTTGTATATTTTATCGCTAAAAATGTCATGCAAAACTATTATTTAGTGGTCTTGGTAACAATTTTTTAGCCACAATGTTTAAAAAGCATGTCGTTCTAGAAAAACCAATCTTCTAATGAGAATAGAATTAAGAAAGCCGAGGCAAGTTCTTATAAAAAGAATGTGCCTACGTTTCTCAGCAGACTTTGAGTTTCTTATAATACTATTTATGAAATATCGAGCAAGGCTCTCTTTGTTTACTTCGAAGAATAATTCGAAATTGCCTCTAACAGCATACTCACGATTTCCAAAATGCGAATCAGTTGAACATCTAACGTCACTTTAACTACTTTGGTAGAAAAGACTGGATCTGAAGGGTGTATGTCTGTCTCATATCCTTTAATGATCGCGTTGTATATTCGCAGTTCATCGTTCTTTCGATTTCGATTGTTCAACATTGTTGCTAGAATTTCAAACCAGAAGTATCAAGCACGGCTTTTAATGAGAATGCAGTTTCTGATGCCTATTCTAGTTAAAAATCGTAACCCCTGAGATCACAATCTTTGGCTGGATCATCGATTTTATGTTCCTTTAATTTTAGTTTTATTACAAGGTTTTGGATTTGATGATTAGTTTAACTTTCTGCTTCAGTATTTTGACGCATGTCCAGTGTAAGTCTAAAATCACGGCAGCAAATCTAAAATGGCGGACAGACAAGGCCGCAGATAAGTGAACAGGATTCTCTTCTCCTTACAGCTGATTCAAAAGACTTTCGGGCCAGAAAAAGCTAATTCGTCTTCTAAGCAAGACGAAGGATTTTTTCACAGAACAATGAAGATTAAATGACATTTAAATGGTTTGTATATACTATTTAAAATCTTTGCAACTAGATCTCATTCTTCGTTTGCTCCAAAAATGTCTACTGAATAAACAGAAAATATACACTACAGAGCCCTAGTCTAGACTCTTCATTCTTTAATTAAATATGCTGACAGCCTATGCCAAATATCATCGTTCTACTTTGTCAAAGCAGATTTGTAACAAATTTTTGACTTACCCTTGCTTTTGTTCTTTTCTAAGGACGATCCCCAAATCTCTTGAAGAAATGCAAAGACCAAAGACAGGCGCAGCCACTGAAGGTAATAGATAAATAATTTATACAGTTTTCTTACTCAAAACAAAGTTCCACAGAAAGCATTCTGTGACGTAAGAAATGCGATTGACAAATTTCCTATATTAGATATGACAAAATGCGTCAAGGAATTGATAGAAAGTTATTATTTTGAATTATGCATTGCCAAAATGAACAACAGAAAATAACAATGATTATATAACAACAAGATAAAATAAGTTCCTTATTTTATCTTGATAACAAGGAATCTATTTAGAAAAAGTTTCATCTTTTTAAGATTCCCTTGCTCATTCTTCTGTCAAACAATTGTCAAACAAAATTGGCAAAAATATGGTTCAAATAGCCGAGTACTTTTTGTCTTGCTGAATATTTTGTCTGCTGAAGTTGTGTTCACCGAATATTTTGTCCTTTGAAGCACGTATCCCAAAAATGCCATTGCATTACTTGAAGCCGTGGAAGGCGTCTGTTGAACTAGAAATATTGACTTTTGTGTGGATGTTTCCAAGATCTTCATTTTATGCTATTTTAAAGCTCAAACTCAAAGTAGACATGTTAGGACAATATTATTTGTCCGTTATGGTCGATTTACATTGAAAGTAAATGAATCTTCTTTAATTAAATTATTCAACGTGCTCATGCTTTGAATTATAAGTCATGTCAACCTATATTTTTCAATAGAAAGTTAAAATTAGGGGAAAAACTACACTAACGCACAAAAGTTACAAGAAAGAAATATATTAAAGAATTTTAATGGAAATTTCCACCAAAAATACACTTTTATATTTATAAGAAGCTGGTTTATAAGAAAGCGAATAGTCAGGATATTTCTATCATTGAAACGCAATTTTGATGAGTTGGATTGCAGTAATTTTGCGGCAAATAACAGCAGTTTGAGGGTGCTGTTAGCTCAATGAAATATTGTGCCCACTCTTGTTAGATTTACCTTCCCTTTCAGTTAGAAGTTAAACGAGGTAAAAAAACAGTTACGAGAAATTAACTTCAACAGATAATCAGAATAACCGTTTTCTAGATGTTTTCAAACTCCTTAAATTTCCGTTTTCGAGCAAATGAAATAAAAAGTACAACTTCTTGAGCATGGCGTCTTGTTTTTCATCTTCCAAGCTTTCTACCTATAAATCAAAATAAGTGCAAAAATAGACCTTACCATTTCAAAGCACTTTGCAGACAAAATCATATCCCTGCCCTTTACTGCTTTCTGTTAATCCTATAATTATTTTATCTAGAAACTAGTTTGATTGTGCCATGTCTAATCAACGTACAATCTAAAAATGTGAGAAATATTCTCCAAAGGCTTGTCAAAATTCAGCGGGATGTAGCGAGATATATAGAAAATATATTCGGCAGGGCAGAAGTGCCAACACCATGATTGTTTTAAGGTATCATTTCCACACTGACGTTTAAAGAGGACTGTTTACTTACTTTAGTTTTTCGCACACATCTGTCTTTAAACCTATTCAACTACAACTTGTTAAACAAAGTCTTTGGCAAGTGATGAAATAGATGTTTTTGTCGTCAAATGTTGTAAATGAAAATAAGATTTTCTATCTAAAATTTCTCTCATTTTGTAGAAATACCAGGTTACGTACACAGTGGCGGATTTAAGGGGGGCAACTAGGGAGCATTTGCCCCTCCCTCACCGAGTTGAAGCAAGTCTGGCGCTCCTATTTGGAAATGATTTGGCACAATTATCGTGAAAATTTCCTTTAGAACGTGAAAAGAGAGCTTTCTGTCAGTATTGAGGGTCTTACATTGGTGTATACAGCGTACTCTCGCCATCAATTTCTGAAAATTTTTCAGCGCCCCAACTACCAACTGCCCCTCCTTCAGATTTGTTCGGGATCCGCCCCTGTGCGTACAGATAAATGTCCCTTCTAATGGAAAAGTGAAAGTTTGTCACAAGCCATGAGAGGTAAAGGCATTCCAAAATTGTCAATGCAGATACAAGATGCAAAGGTCAGAAGGCTACGTTCTTACAATACCGAGATTTTGTTTGTTATAGATATTGCAAACATAACCAATATGCTAAAGTTTTCAACCCTTCGACACAAAATATATGAAAAAATAGAGCCTTGATTAAAATGCTCGAGACTTTCTGGGGCCTCTTAGTATACACGCTTTTTTATAAGAACGACCTTTAATAGAAACATCAGGCTGAGATTTGCCCAAAAAAGGAATAACACAAGAAACAAGGCAGGCTAGGATTCAACAAAACTCAAGAAATAAAATACCAGCAAAAATTAAAAATTAAAGAATAGCAGCAGAATAATAGAGAGCGAAAATTAAAATAGCATTGAAATAAAGATTAAAAAACTTTTTAAAATAAAGTCAATTCAACACCACCGATATCAGTTTAAGATAGGAAAAATATGAGAGACACGAGAGCTAAATTATGCAAAAAATAAGAGCCGCCAGGCTGAACTGAAACTGTAGCTGCAGTAAGTGTTCTTATAAAAAAGCGTGTACCCTTAGTTATCTCTTGAACAAATTATCATCTTCGTATCTTTTTTGCAAAGAAGAACGTGATAAGTCTTTTGAGAATACCAGACCCAAGAATATCACATTTTATCAAACAATTTTATAACGCAACCTAACCTCTCCCAGATTACCTTGATGGAGGTTTTTGGTTTCCTATACAAGACTACTGCGTGTAGCCCTTTGGTGGTAGGACTGAAGGGTGAAAAAGTTTCCCGAGTCTTGTCGAATTAGGGGATGGGGTGGGAGCTGGGGAAGAAAAGTTGCCCCCGGAACTACCGCCACTACTATACTCATCAAAAGGTTTGAGGTATCCAAAATCCCGAAAGCCGAAACTTGAGTCCCGGTTTAAGGGAAAAAACAATCATTGAAGATCTTGAAACCTTTGTTAAAAATCACAACTGTGTTATAAAAATGAAGAGAAAATCCTCTTTGATGGAAACCTCGCACCCTATTTGCATGAGTGAATTGCCCCTCGCTCCAAGTTATAATTGCGTGCAATTCATTTGCAATCAAATTATATACTGATGTTGAAAACGAGGGATTGTGGTATAAACTCGTTGATGAATTAAAAAGGATTCTTGTTCGGGCATGTGCAAGGAGCTGTCTTTTCATTCTTTGAATGACTTATGAGCACAAACATGGAAAGCCCCTCATCGTTATGTCGCAAAAACATTATCACCTGACAAAATCAATGGGACATCCTAGATCCGACTAGATTACCTGGTCACTTTGTGAGAGTTGTCAGAACCGAACTGTTCACAAGGTAGAAAGGCGCTTCTCTTGCAGAAAAGGGTTTGTTCAATATTATCAAGTATTTCAACTGATGATACAAGCCAAGTATAAACGTGTTATGTGTATTGATCAATGTCCTTTTTGTCATGTTTATAATATTCTTCAGCAGCTTCTTTTAAAGCTGAGTCTGAAACTGTTCCCGTGCCCTTCTTACGAAACTTTTGATATTTGATACATTCAATACCCGAAAATATAATGATAAAGAGTGGTTTCCGGAAAATTGTGATATTTTTGCATGCTTAGAACATTACAAACTTTTTTATAAGAATATAGTCGATTATAAGATTTTTGAGGCGCAAAATCGTTAAGATTTGAAAATAATTTAAGACAAACACCATGCTAAGTTTCTCACAGTTAAGTTTTTCATTTATCTTGTTTTCTCACAAAACAACTATGGCTTTCACGCTATATATATAAATAGATGTTTTGAAATATCTCATTCGTTCTGTGAGTAATTAACTCTACAGTATGATTCAGTGACTTGACTTTGTATTTTAATGCCACATTTAATTTTCTGTTCTGTTATTTTTCAAGTTTATGATGAAGCAACGCATCAAAAAGATTTGAACTTTTTTCTTTGACCTCAAGGCGAATTCACACCTTGTGTTGGGCAAGAATAATTTAAGAACTATCTTAGGTACAAAATCGAATTTTTTTAAAAAATATTGATGCTCGGGTCATGCATGTAGCAAGTAGTTTTGTCACTAATATACTGGAGAAACTGGTAGTGAATTTTTTTTAATGGATATTTCATTTTGCTGATATTTCTTTCAATGAATTTTTTCAACACGAAAATAAAGCATTTACGTGTTTCCTAAACTTGAACCCTAAAGTCTTGTAGCAAGAGCAAGCTGGCCAGTAAAATGAATGAAACTGCAAAACGATAAGGTCTGCTAGGTGCTGTCAACACGATCCCTTCCTTCATGCTGGAAATAGCAACGCTTCATCGGTGTCGGCAACAGGTCACCCACGCAAACAAACACGTCAAACGATCAAGAAAAAATAAGGTTTTCTTGTTTTATTTAGATATGATAAAATAGAGGATCAATTTGAGCAATAACGTAATATGAAGTTTTCAATTTAAAAACCATTGGCCTTGTCTGTTCACATAAAATATACTTTTTGAAAATTTGGTATTCCTATCGATTAGAAACTTTTGTTATAGAATATAGTCTTCAGGCTCAAAATCGCTGAAATTAAAGAATAACTAAAGAATAATTCAAAGCTCAAGCTCCATTAAGAATTACATTTTTTGTTTATTGAGTTTTTGGAAAGCAAATCAAATGTGAGTTGCACGCTATATGTTTTGAAGTACACGTTGAAATGCGACTCAGTTAAACCTTGTGTCGCTTAAGAATAATTTAATAATAATCTTAGGCTCGAAATCCTAAAAATTGAAAAGTATTGAGGCTCAGCAAAAGATTAGGTATTCTCATAAAAATGTGCGTATTGCTTGTTTCACTGCATAAGCGTTGGAAGTAGGCGGAGGGGGTGTGTTTTGCTGTACTACCATCCAATATCAAGCAATTCCTTTTCCAACAAAGTATTGCATGGGAACCATTAAATGGCACTTCTCCAAACCAGCCCTTGAGCAAACCCTGGAGAATTTGAAGTTCCCCATGACACTGTTTCAATAATTGGCAGTAAATTCATTAATCCTATCTCGAATGTTGTTGTAACTTTCCTAGGGGGAGGGGGTCTTCTTACGGCAACTAAATACTCGATGCTCGTAGGCAAAACTGCCATAGACAACTTTTCCTGTAATGTCCAAATCTCCAAAACAACCTCAAACACTTCATATGCCCGTTCCGCCATTCACATACAGTTAAGAAATTTCTAGGAAGGTACTAGGAGTTTCAATAAGTGTCACATTCTCCTTTGTTAGCTTTTCCAGTTCCCTTCCGATTAGTTCATTAGAGCATAGTCAATAGAAATACGCGTATTTCTATTGACTATGATTAGAGATATTCTATAACATATCAAGAATCTTTATAACATAACGTATCCATTCTTAATTTGATTCTAGATACACTTATTAAAATGGATGCTTCTTTGTCAAGAATTGTTCTTGCGATCATGTTAGCTGGAATCATTGGATCAAGTCATTCTATGTTGCCCAGCACTAAAAATATTTTTGCCAGACCCGAAAAGATCAAAGGTATTGTTTTTTTCTGAAGAATTGCACGATACTACTAACTATTATCCAAATTTACCCAGAAAACTTTTAAAAGTCCATTTGGGCATTCATTCTTTATCTATTCACTGGTAATCGTGACAAGATAGCTTTTCGTAATTTGACCAATTTGTTTCGACAACCATCCTGGTTAAATAGAGAGAAACGACATCAGGCCTTTTGAGACGTAAATGGTGGCTATTTCTTTCTTGGAAGTTGGTCCAGATAAAAATGTCTAAATTTCGGAAAGATAAATGCTGTACCTTTAATTGTCAAGGACCTTAGCAGCCTGTGAGAGAAAGAAAAACTTATGTTCGTGCTAATGCACAGTGATTTCACATGAAATAAAATTTCACTTACAATTCTTTTTTTGTTTTGATATCAAGCAGTCAGAGTGACATATCCTGGTCTTTTAGAACCACTATCGACCAACAAGTGCAAGGATTCAAGTGAAAACTGTCCTGCTTGGGCTAAGCTAGAAGAATGCAAAAGGAATCCAGGCTGGATGCTGATAAACTGCTGCATTTCATGCAAATATGGTAAGCGTTGCCAGAAATCCCTACAGTGCTGAAAAACTAATATGTTCAGCATTAATTCTTATAAGAAAAAAAGACAAAGGTCATTAAGAAAAACCCATCTAACTTGAGCTACCTTTTCTTATAAAGGTGTAACACACTTCCTACTTTAAGAAGCGGCCGAAAATTTCAGACTTGTCGGTAATTGTGAGCTAATTATTAGCAGGGACGTCATTTTTTAAAGTTATTGGAAGGGTGCAAGTTTTTAAAGTTTTCACCTACTGAATAAAATGCATTTTTCTCTATGAAAATAAATATCTTCGTTAGCCACAGACAAGATGGAAAAGGATGAGGCTGTAGCTTCTGCAAACAGTCGTAGATGTTTCCTCTAAAACAAAGTTTTTGCAGCATCTCAATCAGAGGTTTTTGTTGCTGTTCAACCTCTAATTCTCCCTCTTCTATTTTTACCCGGTATTAATCAAAGATTGCTTCCAAGATGGTCTTAATCCCTGTGCCCTTCAATACCCATCAAAATTTTCCCTTTCATAACAATCCTGACTGTTTTACATTTCTCTGTCTGATCACATGACCAAGACCGCGTCTCTCCTTCCTCCAAAATCGAAACTTTGCAACTGCTCTAAATTTCTTTAATGTAACATCTTCATATATGTTCGACTAACTGAATCTTCCTTTTTTCACTACCCAACATTGGGATCATATTTCACTCCTGACACTTCCCTTCACTTAGATTATGTTACCATAACCTTCTACTTAACTGCTACTCTGATTAAAGGAACATCCAACGTCCCACTTTCTTGGGTCCCTTCCGGAGGCATTCTTCAACGTTACTTATAGCTGCCCCCCTCTCTTCCTGATATCAACACATATGACTTTTCAGCATTCATCTTCAGGGCTCCTCAACCGGTCACCTTGGCTGCAGTCAATCAAATGTTCTCTGCTGCTCAATCAATGTTTGGAAATCATTAAGCCAATCTGATTATGTTTGATTGCAGAATCAGGATGACAAAAGCAACTCAGTCATTTTATCAGCCCTGTGAGACAAAGATTTGCACTGCTAAGGGTACTGACGACTGGCGAGCTGAGACATCTCATAAACCTCCAATAGTCACTTCCCTGATAACTGTTATTATGTTATTTAGAGATAAATGTTTTAAATGAAATAATACTCAAGTATGCAGCCAGGTTTTACTTTGAAACACGTGCACTTTTTATCGAAATATTCTCAACCTTTCGATGAATCTTCTTTGCTGCTACTCTACACAGCCCCTCTCCTACTTAAAGGTTGTTCAACGTCTTAAAGGTTGCTACGAAATCTATTAAAGATGTAAATTGGCATTTATTGTACTAATACGCAACAAAATATAGCCAGAAATATTACATATTGTTTTATTTTAGTTTGTAGCCCTTCTGCGAACAATTGCACAGATAATCATAGGTATTGTGGCACTTGGGCACAAAATGGAGAGTGCCAAAAAAGCAAGTCTTGGATGCTAGAAAACTGCTGCAGATCTTGTAAAGCAGGTATAACTAATTTAAAAGATAGCAATGAAACTCTGATTTGCACCCATTCTGTTCTAAGGGCTAGGAAGGGTGGGTTAGATCAATTACCAATCTAAGCTAAGTTTATCACTAAACGTAAATTTCTTTGCAAAACCCCCAAGCTATTCTTGCTTAAAGAGTCCATTTCTGAGGAGGAACTATGGACAATTTTTTTGTTATGCAGACATTGATGCTAAAAATACCTTTACTCTATTCTTACTGTAAAAAGACAGGCCAAAGTGTTACAGTCTGATGTTCAAATGACAAGCACCTTTCGTGTCTGTAAACATGACCAGATTTCCGATTTAACTAACAAATGCTCAAATGACAGTAGAGAGACAAAACAGTACGCTTAGTGCCTAAAATGTATTGCAGTTATTATGAATGAATTATAAATGCTGTTTAACGACTTACTTATCACAACCATATCACAGTTAACATGGGGCATCAATCAATGGGGCTAGGTGGCTTTAATCCTTGGTTTTTCTGTGTTGAAACATTTCTATAAGCAAAACTATTCTTCTCCATGGTCCCCATAGCTTTTTTTTAAAGGCTCAGCTCCTGTGCGATACAGAGTTGTGATAAGTTACAATGAAAAACATGATTGATAATTGATTCTGTAATAAAAAATGGGATTTATGATTTTATTGGCAGTTTGGAGACAAGCTTGGAATTGCTCCGACAGCAATCAACAGTGCAGTGAATGGGCCAGACAAGGTGAATGCAAGAAGAATCCAAGATGGATGCTCACAAACTGTTGTGAATCCTGCAAAAATGGTAATGCCATTGATAGCTATTTTCAGATGCTTTGATTATTTTACATTCAACTGGTGAAAGAGATTAAAATTGAAAAAAAAATGTAGATAATTTTCAAGCAAAATCTCATTGGAACCATCAACATAATTTTGATTGAATTTTTGCTTTGAGGATTTATGTAGTTTGATATATTATTGTTTAAAGTCCAAGTTTTGAGCATACGGAGAAACATCCCCAGCAAGGCAGTTTTTCTGGATAGAAAGAAATATCACCTGAGTAGAATTTAAAGACATAGCATTTATGTGCTTTTCGTTTGCCAAGAAAAGTGTTTTTTGCTGTACAGCAAATAAAGTTGCAGTTAGGAATTGCCTGGGGCTTGATCAGAACAATGAAGTATTTTTTGCAACTTATAAAACTGGATAGGTTTTTAAGGAAAACATATCTCTATGAATGAATTTGCTTCTTTGTCACTGACTTTCAAAAATTGTTTTGCAGTGTAACTTTTACTTAAATAAGCATTTTAGGTTAGCTAAATTTGCAATGATTACCTTAAAAAAAATTACTCACAACAAACATCTTTTTGCCAGGGGGCCTTCCTTAAAAGTCAGGAATGGGGGATTTGCTAAAGGGTACTCCTAGAAGCACACGCTATATACTTGCATTTGTGCTAAAGATTCTCTGTCAATCCAATACATTATTGACACAATATTAGATTTTAATCAATTGATATCTGTCGTTTTTAGAATCTGTCGTTTCTAGACTACTTGGTTCAACCTCAAACTTTCTAGAATAAGAATTTTAATTCATTTAAAGAAACCAAATTTTGGGTGTTTAAGTTTTCCTAAACAAACAAGAAAACAAGTTAATTTGCTTAAACATTTGAAAATAGCAAGCTTATGGCACGTAATGTTATTATATCTTTGCTGATAAGGATGTTTCTGCTTGTATTGTACCCCTTTTTTACAATATTTTTTAGCTCCGGTCCGGCATTGCAATTCTGTATTTTCATTAGAAATTTCTTCATCTGGTTTCTAAGGCTGTTAAAATCGTTTTAGCTGCTTACGTTATGCTGCAGCTAGTCTTATCAATTGAAAAAATCTTATCATAATCTCTATCTTAACAAATTATAGCATCAAAGATTCGCAGGACTTGTGCAGATACCAACGTTAATTGCAAAGAATGGGCAAAACGGGGAGAGTGTAAAATAAATGCCCAATGGATGCTGCCAAATTGTTGCATATCTTGCAAAAAAGGTATCATATCGGCTATTTTTCAATATCAATGGCATTTTGAACAAGAATTGGGCTTCAATTACCATACATAACTGAAGCAATATTTGCATAAAAATCAATTACTAAGCTTGAAAGATTGTCAATTATACAACTATATACAAATTAAGTCTGGGTGTGGCTACACTCAGCAATAGTGCACCTAAACCCACCTTTAAGCTTTTGCATCTATTTCCTGGGCCATGTTCTAAATTTTATAGTTGTATTTACACCCAAATATGACAAAATTACATTAAGTGTGTGTTTTGATATGCCTGTTGAATTAAATTTTGCTTTTTTGGAATTTTATTGCCAAATTGCAAATAACCTGTATCTTGAAAAGACATCCATATTTGAATGTTTTGTTTTTTGTTGTGAATTTGTGAATATTGTGAAAGCTTTCTAATCTTGCCCTTTAAAAGTAAAAAAAGGACGTTTGAGCATCGAATGTAGCAAAAATAAACCAGGTTACACGTCAGAATGTTTTTGTAGAATGGAAGAAAACAAACTACTGCTATGATGCAAGTAAATACTGTGAGGTGTGGGCTCAAAGTGGAGAGTGTATGAACAATCGAGAATGGATGTTGCATAACTGCTGTCAATCTTGCAAGAAAGGTTCGTCTAACATTATATATCAATTATTTGATACAAGGGCCGAGATAGCGGGGGTTGGGGAGTTGTTAAGGGTCTTGAGATTTGAGAACCTCTATATTAAAAATAATGGCGGTAAACATTGCCCTCCCTCAATTCGAAACAAATCTGGGCCCTTGATTTGATACCAGATTCCTGTACAGAGTAAGTTGAACTTTGGACCCTGGATTTAATGTAAATAGTGTCACTACTTTTAAGAAAAAAGATTTTCGTCAGCATCCTTTCAAATTGTTGAACCCTAAAAAATCAACAACCTCCCCATCGACCCCTTCCCCGTTACATTTAAAATACGACCCCTCCCCGTCTTTAGGACTATAAATAAGAAACTAGATAATACAGAAATAGCAAGTTTTCGCATATGATCAGTTAGTAAATGAGAACTATGCGCAACGATAAATTAGTTTAGGCAGAGTACACCCGTTGCTATGAGAAACAGCAAGTTTTTGCCGAGACTCGGTGCTGAAATTTTTTGGATGATAAGACGCTCGGATGTTTTGAACTTTGTTCATATTTCAAAGTTTATTTTTCTACAATTGCATTCTATAAATTGTATTAAAGGCATTTAGATAACACTTTTGACTGAAATTTTTAGACACATGCTAAAGCTACAACTCATTGAATCTACTCTTTTTATTGAATTGGAAGTAAATTTTCCAAAACAGATTGTTTTTTTAATATTTGTCATTCAAGATGTTTAATATTGTCTAATTTTTCCTACTTTTTTCGGTAACTTGAACCTCGGTTTCTTGTTAAATGTGTTCTTATAGAAAGAGTTAAAACAGGAAGTGTATCGAAGATTGATATGGTAACAATAATTTTGTGCATACTTTGGTTAAACTCTTAAGTGCACCATATTCATCATTAAATATGAGTATCTGTATTTTGGTACTTAATCTCTTTCATGGTAAATATGATAAATCTATTTAAGCTTCGATTAGTCTAGACCAAAAATTGAATTCTAAGCTTCATCTTTTGCTATCAGTAGATTCAAATTTAAATTTATTTTCAAGCTGGGAGTCAAACGCAACGTTGCACTGATAAACATAAATATTGTCATCACTGGGCAAAATGGGGCAAATGCAGAAAAAGTCACGCATGGATGAAAATTCAATGCTGCAAATCTTGTAAAACTGCATGGTAGGTTCCTTTTAACGTAGATTGATTTTATGTGTATTTTCTCATTTACTGTTGTGATTAACAAAGGTTACAAGCAAAAGTTTTTTAGACTTATAAAGATTCATAATTCACAAACCCAAAGGCAAAGGAAAGTTCCTGAACCTTAAGTGCAAAAAAATAGCTTTAAATTTTGTTTGCCTGAGCCATGGTTTAGAAGCATCCTACCCTGCCAGGAAATGCCCGTTCCACACTTTAAACACAACATTTAGTAAAGACCTACTTTGTAATTTAGCCTAAATGAGGGGTGCTTTTGACAGAGATGTTCTTAAACAAACAAACCTCGAGGCAGTGGCGTAACAGATGCATATCATGATTCAAGGTACTCCCAAGGCTCCTTGGTGTCAGAGGCCCAACAAGACCCTCAAACAATTTGATAAAGCATTTTATAATGGAACGAATGAAGTTGAAATTCTTGAAAGTAGCTCTCGACAAAAAGATAAACTTTAAAAATTTAAAACTTTGTTAAAATGGAGGTCTAATTATCATCTCATTATGTATTGCTGTTTTCTGCGTTGTTGAAAGATTTAAAGACCTCATGAAATTTTTTTTCATTTTCCCAATTAAACAAAAGTCGTTTCTTATATATAAAAGGAGCTATTGCCATCAATCACGATTGTATAGAAAAGTATTAAACTGTTATCTAAGACTTGGTGGCTCTGTAGTATTCTTCTCTAATATCTTATTCTTGTTTATCTCTTTTTTATATAGGCATCTTTTATTTTTCTCATTACAATCCGTATTGCTTTTCATGTTAGGCATTGTTTTTGGTTTCTTTTTGGACCTTGTTACAGTGCACTTAAAAAGAATATATCGTAATATTAGGGATATTGAGAGATAGCAAATGCGTCGTATGAATACATTAGATTCCTTGATTTTGTTAACGCTTAGGTTCTGACTCAAAACAACTCGTCAGCGTCCTATCAAAATTACTATATCGAAAACTCGTTCAGATAATTAAGTAGTGAGTAGGTTACATCACAATCATTATTCAAAATGATATCTTGTTGGTACAAAATATAAAAAATGGATTTGAAAGAATTAAACATTGATGACAAATGATAATGAAAACAAAATTTTAAGCTAAAAAATATATATGCCCACTTGCCTGACGAAATAAGCCACTCAGAAAGCGCAAGCCTGTGATTGTTAAAGAAACAATTTAGGTTACCTATTGAAAATATTATCAATGGAGCCTAAGCCCAAACCAGCCTTGAAACCAAAAAGTTTCAGACTAAAGAATTCAGTATCTTTTAAAATGTTTGCTTTTTCAAGCCATTTTTAAATTGAAGCAAGTAACTTGCGTGAAAATGCCCCTTTTTATTCTAGATTTGATTTGACGGGGAACATCTTTTCAAGAACTCTTCGTTTTGGCTTTTTATTGTAATAATTTGATCTGTGTCATGTGAAATTCTCTTTTTGCATCATAGACCTTGGGTATTTTTTATAAGAAATTTTGTACCATGAATAAGGCATGCGAATAGAGAAAAAAATATCGTCTTGTTTTTAACTTCATTTATCATATAAGAATGCATATCTTAACTCTTCATTTATCAATAGCTGTATACAACTGTTTGAAACTATTTGCGCTAATTAATCTAATTTTAGTACGAAAATGTGATTAGATGTAGTCAATCATTTTCTTTTTCCTGATTGAGTCTTTCTGTGAAGCTTCTTGAATGAACCTGTGAATTGAACTGAAAGCCAACATTGGATTCTCGGCTTTACGAGTGTAAATTGCCCTCAAAGTTTGTTTACATATTATGAGAGCTCAGATGTCACAAAAATGGTTCTTTCCAGCTACAAAGACCGTGTAATTTTTATGATTTTTGCTCTGCTTGAACTTTTCCTCTAATGGTTTTATCATTTTTAACCCTCACACCAACTGTTAATTGTGACCTGCGACACTATTGATAAAACTATTTCATAAAATCAACAGTATTTGAGCTAAAACGCACGTTAAATCAAATTATTTTTCTCTTTGAAAGCTACCGCCTTTGTAGCTCTCACAAAAGTAATAACTGCAGTTGCGAAGGCGCCTAGCCATCCCAGAATGCGTATCAGTTCTCCAAAATCAAAATGGCGCATCAACGTTGTGCACCCACATGGATCAATAACTGATTTGATAAGGTAAGAACACAATTTTTTGCATGATTCTTCCATGAAATCAAAAGTTTAGATGTTTCCTTAATGTGTATCATAATTCTTTCATGTCGATGAGCATCTCAGCACAAATATAATCTCGTTAAGACGGTAGTAGGCCTGTATCAGTTTTTTTGTTTATCCCAATATCTTATTTCTAGTGCATGTGTTCCATTGTAAACTCCAAACTTTTTTGAATCAGAATTGTAATTAGAAATTGATGAGAAATGGGTGTTTTGTGCTTACTACGTCGAGATCGGAATGAGTCTTAACCCGGGTTTATTTATTAAGTTTCCGCCCGAAAGAGAAAACCCACTTCCTTGTTTATACCAAGATCGTTGTAGATTTCTAGGCATTATTTGGTGCACTGGATCGAAATTTTAAAGTGCAAGTGCACGATACGTATTATATTGTTTTATTATATGAACCAAATAACTTCAGCCAAGTCTTGATGTTCTTATTTTGGAGAAAATTTGGCGTCCTTGTGTTTTCTATTGATTTTTCTACATTAACATGCAATAAACTGTTTTAACAGATCTCCTAGCACGGTTGACAAGCAGATAAAATATCCTCTGCTTTGTCAATAAAAAATTGTTTTTTTATCTAAATTTCTACCAGAGGCTTGACATGTTCCAATCTTATACGTATGTAATCGAGCCGTGGTGTTCTTATAGCCTGTGTTTTTATATAAAATATATTATGTTCACTTCTGCTTTTCCTGGTCTGTTAATGCTCCATTAAAAGGTTATGCCTGTTGCTACAACACCTCTAAATCTGATATTAGGATGACACTAAGTCTTTAAGGATAAAAGGTATACTGGTTTTATCAAGTATCAGCTATTTATATGTGCAAAGTACTGCATAACCTCAATGTCTCTTCCTAACCTCATTACAAAAGTATAAACAGCCTTAGAATTTTGTAACGTTAGACGTTAGTCATATAAAGGAACGTTTTCTTGGTTTTGCCATATCTGCCTGTAACACAGTATTGTCAGGGCTGTGAGACCGATTACAGTATACTCCCGTTAGCGCGATCTCCAGCAGGGGGGAGATAGAAAGTCTTACTCATTTAACGATTGTGCCAGCTAATTACACATTCTATTAAGTTGGTGAAAGAATTAAAATATGGAAATATCGCATTCAGTGAGGGATTATCTGAATTCAGGAAAAAAGAAATACAATGCACATATTTCAAACCTCCAGAAAATTAGTTTTTGATGAGATAATATATACACGTTTTGCAGGTATTCATTATCTAGGATAAGCCCAAGTTCAATATATTTTGCAGGAAATTATCGATGGGAAATAAATTTTTCTAGGAATTTGATCCCAAATGACTCACTTGACGAAGTTTTCAAATGAATAGGAACAAAACCAGTCCCAGATAGTGAAATTCCAATTTTTCCGGGGTCTTAAGCAAAGTTTTTTCTAGCAAATCTATTGAGAAAGTTCAAGGGATACCGTACTTTTGCCCCCCAATATAGTGAATGTCCAAGATATCCAGGGACTTACTTATTTTGTTTAATCTACAATCAGTTTCAAGAATTTATGCAGTATTTCTTTAAACAAACAGTTTTTGGGCAATATTCAATTTTCAGAGAGTATATCCCTTTTATTGCTAATTCTTGTTGACTTATCGCTAATTATTAATTGGGAAAAAACTGACTCCAAAATGACATGCAAAACGGAAGCTTTTAGGAGTTTCTTTACTCTTGGTGGTTCTTTATCATGTTAAAATTTAAATTTGTATTGAATTTGAAAGGGACTGTAAAGTATCACTTGACATTAAGGTAAAGTTATTCGAGAAAATTAAGAGGGAATTTCAAGTTATATTGTCAGATTATATTGTTCGACACGCAAGTTATATAGAATATTATATAAAATGCTATATATGCTATATGGAGACTATACAATGCTGGAAATCAAATGTTTATGTATCATTCTCAGAGTTGTGTACTGTGTATTTATCCTCGAATGGCCCCCCTCGTCTATGTCCTTTCCGAATACACCCACTCCTTAGAAACAAAATTTTTTAACGTGCCCCACCCTTGAATAAACCCCCAACCTAACACGCCAATTTTTGCGTTTATAAATGCCCCATTAGGGCTTTATTGAGATACAACAGAAAGAAAAGACAATTTTTAAGCCATGATTGATGATGCTAAAAACTAAGATAGGCGAGACATTAATGAAGAGAACGCCGAAGACAATGAATATATCATTATTTTGCACTAAGCTATGCTTTTTGCTTTGATTTATACTTTGATTTAACATCTGAAAACAGTTATAAATTAAAATTGCAAATTGGAGGAACTTTAAAGTTGTGGGAAAGCTACAAAACGAGCTTTTCCATAGAAACATGTAGATAGGTGTTTTAGGCCCCCTTCCCCGTCAAATGAGCCCCCTTGAATCAGCTCTCATCTAAATAGTGCCTAAAATTGGTAAGCCCCGAGGGGCTAATTAGAGGGTTTACGGTATATCACCAAAGCTGCATGGAGAATTCACATAATGATTTTTTCGTTCCTAAGCCCCATATTGCTTGGCTTCAGATGAGCATCTTCTCACGAGCTTCGTGATTCAACTAGACTGAGCTATATTTCCAAAACTGAGGTCACGAGGGCTCTAAGGCCTGGCTTTTCCTACAGCTACCTCCCTCTCAATTGGCACTGGTCTGTGATACGTCTTATTGAACTGCTATGATTTGCTTCAATAACTTTAAGACTTTATTTGCTTTATTTGCCTAAGAATGTAACTTCTCAAAGTTTGAATAATATTTTTCTTTAAGGAAAAATTAAAAAAGTGCCTTAAGTATTTTTTGTGTCCAATTGATCTACCCTAGTTTTTTCCTTACCCTAAATGTGATTAATTAATTTTCGTAACCCTGTTTCTAATAATCAGGGCTGTCGTGCATTTAAGAGGAAGAATCGTGCATTTAAGAGAAGGGCTTTTGGAGACAGAGAAAGCATACAATATACGGCCAGAATACTCAATTGTCTATACTTCTTCATAGTTATGAACATTTTCCCAGTTTTATAATTAGATTATCATAAGTTGTTGATTAATGATTTTTTGATTATTTTAATTTCATTAATTTCAATTTTTTATAAAGTTTATTAATTTTTTTCAAGAGTTTTTATTTTAATTATTTTTTTTCACGGATGGCTTGTAATAATTATTTTTAATTAGCTCTTTCGTGGCTGGATTTTTTCTAACAATTTTCTATCTATTTACGGTTGCTTAGTTTTTGTTACTTTTTATTTAAATATGTTCACAGGTGGATAATCTTTATCAATTTTATTTCATTTTTTTCACGGTTGAGCAATTTTTGGTAGCTTTACTCGATTTTCTTTACAGTTGGAAGGTTTTCATTAATTTGCTTTTATTTTGTCACGTTTGGCCAGTTTATATCAATTTCATTCGATTCTTTCATGGTCAGCTAATTTTTTGTTATTTTCTCTTCATGGATGAGTATTGCTTATTAATTTTGTTTTTTTTGCTCGGTTGGCTAGATTCTTAATTATTTTGTCTTATCACAGTTAGATATTTTTCATCAATTTGATTTTATTTTGAATGTTTTTATTGATTTTTGAATTTTCTATATGGTTGGGTATTTTTACCACTTTTTTCACGGTTGAGTTAATTTTATTAGTTTTTCAATTCTCTTTAACGGCTAGATAATGTTCTTTAGTTTTAATTTATTTTTTAGCAGTTGATTAATTTTTGAAGATTTTTTATTTCCTTCACATTTGGCAAATTTTTATTAATATTTAAATTTCCCTTGCAGTTTGATAATATCGGTTTACTAATTTTTATTAAATTTAAAAAAATTTCACAGTTGGATAAGCTTTTTAGTTTTTTTATTCCTTTTTAGATTTGGATAACTTTTTTAATCTTTCATTTTTTCGCGGTTAGCTGATTTTTACTAAATTTTCTTAGGTGTACTCGCCTTAATAGTTTTTATTTTTAATCACTGGTGGATACTTTTTTCATTTTAGGCTAATAGTTTTTCTAATTTTTTCATGCTTTACGAACTTTTAGTATTTTCTTAAACTTTGTTCGAGGTTGGATTATTTTTGTTAATATTTTTAAATATTTTTTGCTGTAAGATTGTTTCTTTATCTATTTCACGGTTGGCTAATTTTTATAAAGTTTATTAATTTTTCCTCATAGTTGGCTAATTTTTTATTTTTGTTAATTTTCTTTCAAGGATAGCTAATTTTTACAATTTTTTATTTCTACTTGCTTTACTTGTTTCCAGTATTTTTTTAAGCCAAGTTCGAGGTTGGATTATTTTTGTTGATTTTATTAAATATTTTTTCCTGTAAGATTGCTTCTTTATCTATTTCACGGTTGGCTAATTTTTAAAAAGTTTATCAATTTTTTCTCATAGTTGGCTAATTTTTTATTTTTGTTAATTTTCTTTCAAGGATAGCTAATTTTTACAATTTTTTATTTCTACTTGCTTTACTTGTTTCCAGTATTTTTTTAAGCCTTGTTCGAGGTTGGATTATTTTTGTTGATTTTATTAAATATTTTTTGCTGTAAGATTGTT